CAACTTTCAGTTTGTTAGGGCCCACCCTTATGTAGGGGTGGACAACCAAGGAAATACTATAAGCTGAATGATAGACTCAAACAAAGAAACAGAAAGAAGCAAATGGGACAAAATATGGACTATGCTATTAAAAATATTTTTAAAGAGTTCTATATTTATAGATCCAATTATGTGTATCTATCAGATGATGTATGTTTATAGCCACATATGTAGATGAATATCTTATTTGTAGAAATGCAAGGGAACATGTTGCAACCTTGGAACAGAAGCACAGGAGAATACATACTCACATATATGCATAAAAACAGAGAAAACAGGTAGAAGTGTTTTCTTGGACCCTGGGGATCTGGAGACAGAAACACTGTCCAGGGGCACTGAGCTCTCACCTTCCTGCTCTCCCACAGGGGCAGGCGTGGCCTCGTTGGTTCCAAATTTGTCTCAAGAATCAAAAGAGCCAGCTGCGTGTCCACAATCCTGTACCGCAGGGATTTTCACCCTTTTTCATCTCATGGCATATGGCACATGGCACATGGCACACAGAAACTAATTAGTAAAATTCTGCGGCACACCAAAAAATAGTATATTTTTTGCTGATCTGACAAAAAATAGTTATAATTTTAATTCATTCACACCTGACAGTTATTGTCATGTTGGCTGCTGTCATTTTCTTATTTGGCAGTCTAAGGGAAAAAGAGTCAGTGTCCTTGACTAAATAGTTAGGTATTGCATGTTTTAAAAATTCTTGTGGCAAAGTGGTTGAAAATTGCTGTTATATAGGGTTGTAAATTCTTCTTGTGTGATGACTTAAATCTCCAAGTATAATAGGATGTTATCATAGCAAGAATTAAGCTTCTTGGATGTGGAAAGATCCTAATTTTATGTGGGAAGCAAAAATCAATGGCAGTTGCAAAGTCCTCATAATACTGCAAAAAGAAACAGACACACAGCATCTGTCCTGCTTTGTGTGGCCACCTTGCTTACAAAGGGATCTGACCTGTTAGCCAATAAAATCGGGAGTTTAGTTTTCAGTTGGGTGCATGTTTGTGCACTGTGATCCACCAGAAACCCAGACTTGGGGTTGCTGGAAAAACACCTTCCTCCACCACGGCTGGGTTCAGGACGCAGCACCGGGATGCGGAAGGAGGGCTAGGTGACCTGGAGAATGGCCCACTGTGGGGGTGTGGGGGTGCTGTATGAGTGGCACCACCCGGGAGTTCTCAAAGGGTGTTGGAAAGCTTCATGACGTGAGCCCACATTTTGGATCCTGGTCAAGGGTTTCACACCTGGGATGATAAAATGGGGGAGGAGGATACCCTAAAAACTTTCTTGAGCCCCTTGATAGTCCCTGACTTGATGAGTAGAGAGGATCACTCCTGAGGCTATAGATGTGAGTGGGGCAGAGATAAGCATTAGCTGCCATTGACCCAGCTCTCTTGTGAAATTGCTAGGAAGAAAAGAGGCAGAAGGATGTGGCTTAACTGTAGCACAAAACTGTAAGTGTTTTAATATGTGAAAATTAATCTTTGCTTTTTTAAAAGGATTTTATTTGTTTATTCCTAGAGAGGGGGGAGGGAGGGGGAAAGAGAGGGAGAGCAACATCAGTGTGTGGTTGCCTTTTGAGCACCCCCTACTGGGGACCTGGCCTTCAACCCAGGCATGTGCCCTGACTGGGAATTGAACTGATGACCTTTTGGTTCTAAGGCCAGCAGTCAATCCACTGAGTCAAATCTGCCAGGACAATCTCTGCTTTTATAGAGAAAGTTTTCTGAAAATGAGAACAGTGACATTGGAGCTCTGTAATTTGTGAAAACAGACTTTTTCTATTTTTGTAAGTAGTGCTCAGAAGCCATGGAAACAGTGACTTCTAAGTGGAAAAGTAGATGGACTGAATTGGAATAATCTCGAGACAAATTAACTGAAGTGCTAAATATCTAAATTTGGGTTTCAGGTACAATTTTGTTTGGGAGATGAGAATTTTGTGGGGCTAGTGCCAACAGAGATAAAAGGAGAGAAGTTATCGCATGTGGAGTCTCAGAGTCTAGATGTCTCAGGAAAAAAATTCCCTGTGGGCCACTTTAGCATATTGTCCTAAGACTAAGACACCTGGGGCTTCTGAGGGAGACTGGACCTCGCTAGGCTGGAAGAGGCTGAGAAAGGTGGTGGGAGAGATGGGGGGAAGCCAGAGGGGACCTGAGGAAGACTGTACCCCACAGGTTTCAGAGGCCAGGGAGGACTCCCGGTGAGGAAGGAGGGGCTGGAATGCAGAGGGGGAGCTGGAAGGCTTAGAGGTAGAGCTATCAGGAAATTGCCAGCTGGGGGAGGCTGCCCCAGGTCAGCTAAGAGCAGTCAGATTCTGCTGACCTCCTCCTTGGAGGCTGACAGTCCTTCGTGGGAGTCGGCAGAGAGCGGCTGGGAGTGGGCAGCCTGGGAGCCTTTCCCCAGCGGAAGCAGCCATGTCTCCTCCGCTACCGGGGGCCATGCCTTCATCCACGGGATTGAAAATGAACACCTCTCACATCTCAACATAAAATATTTTTCTGACAGTGCTTGGTTATATTTTTTGACATTCTTAACTAGCCTTTAAAAAAGTTGGACTCATTAACTGCTGAACTATTTAATATTTTTTTTATCTAAAGTTTTCTACAAAATAGAAATTCAATATTAAACCTGCTTGAGGTAACAGACAACTGAATGAGAACCCATGGAAATTAGGAATGAAAGGAAAATTTTAGATTGCAACCCCAAAGCGTGTATTTGCTGGCATTCCCCTCTTCCCTGAAGAGATCCCAGACACCCTGCGCCTGGGGCTGGCCTCAGGGACAGGCTCACGCAGGCTCCTTGAGACTCACGCAGGCCCCCTGCTCAGAAGGGCCCTCTGCTCGGTACAGCGTTCTGCTGTTGCTGTTTTGTATCCTTAATGAAGTTTGAACATGGGCACTTAGAGTTTCATTTTTCACTGAGTCCTGCCTATGCCTCTCTAGTCTTTAGTGTTCCTCCAGAGAAATTCTATGTCTTATTTTTTGTCAGGCAGTCACGCTTGAGAAATGCTCGTTGAGGAGGAATGTTTGAACAGCAAAGTTTGGAGTCTAATCCAAGATGCTTGACTTAAAAGTCAAAAAGGGAAAAAAAGAAAGAAGAAAAGGAGATTTTAAAATTTAGAGGCAACATTAAAATTAGAAAGAGAAAACTGGTAGCTGAAAAATAAAGAATGGACTGTCGTATCAATAAACTATCACATCAGAGCAAGGTGCAGATACTTTGTAGAGGTCAAGGTAAATTGAGATCAACAGCATGAATTCATGACCTCTTAAGAAAATACTCCTTTTTCTATTTTGTCACTGAAGTGGCTAAAAGTCCCTGTGTTACTCTGCTCTATCTCTAGTATTCAAGAGAAATAAGATAACGTGCTCTCAAGCTCTGAGACTTTGGTCTCATGCTAATTACTGCTTATAATAATCAGAGGTTCTTGAAGAGTAGCCAACTCCATGTTTGCAGTAGGAAGACTGAAGATGGACTTGGGGTATTTTGTCATCTTATTCCTTGCAAATTTAATAATGTATTTTTAGTTTAGCAAAGGAAAGATACTCTGCAAGAGAAGCAGGAGGTATGAAGGCCAGTGTGGATTTAGTTTCTAAAGACAAATAACTCCTACTTTATTAAGTTCATAGTAGAGGGGAGTGATCTTGACTTTAGCAAGTCATCTGACAAAATCATGTGTTATCTGTGGATAGATAGAGAAATAGAGTGGATTTCAGCACCACTGTATGGGTTCAGAGTTCAGAAAAACAAAAGATTAACAGATGATTTACAAATGGGCAGCAGGAACGCAATGACATTTAGAAAGTTCTAATCCTGGACTTTTTTTTTAATTTAAAATTTCTATGAATAATTAGAATGATGGCATGCTTATAAAATTTAGAGATGACACAAAATTATGGGGACCAGCCAACCTGCCCTATGAGACAACATTCCAAGACATATGTTCAGGTTGGAACAATGTATCAACATGGACCATTTGATTTAATAAGAAGTAACATAAAATCACACACTTAGATCTTAAATATGAAAACAGTACATAATAAGAAACTCCTATTTTTAAAAAGTTTGTAAAGGAAAATCCAAGGTTGTTAGTTAACTAAAAATTTAAAATGAATCAACAGTGTGATATGGATGCTGTTAAAAAAAAAAGAAATGTTATCTTAGGCTGTATTGCTGAGGTGTCTGTATCAGGGATCAGAACACTTTCCCTGCAAAAGTCAGTAAATATTTAAGACTTTGCAGGCTACACCACGCCTGTCACAACCATTCAACTCTGCTGCCCTCACATGAAAGCAGCCAGAGAAAATGCATACAGGAATGAGTGTGACTGTGCTCCAATAAAACTTTATTTATGGACACAAATTTGAATTTTTCACATGTTATGAAATATTATTTTCATTTTAAGAAAACATTTAAAATGTACCATACCATGTACCCCTACCCCCAAAGTAAAATCCCTTCTCACATGGGCCGTACTAGAACGGGGGGCAGGTGTGTTTGGCTGGTAGGCCAAAGTTCGCTGACTGACCCTGGTCTAGATCGAAAGACACTATACTCTTTCCTGGTCAAAATACTCCTGGGTGAATGAGGGTCATTTAAAAATTTAGTGTTTCTGAAGGGCGATGATTGTGGAGGAGCTGGATACACTTACTCCACAGTGGAGAAAACTGAGGAGGAAGACCATGGATACTGAAAAATACTTGAATGGCTGTCATGTGACTGGAGGCAGATACCACACCTGTGCGGTTTAGGAGAGGAAGAATGGTGGCAGGAAGTTAAAGGGAGGCAACTTTAACGTAGCATAAGGAAATTTTTTCTATCAAATAGAGCTGTCCCATCGGAAAACGGGTTGCCAACTTTAAAGTTGTTAAATGATGATCTTTTGAGAATGTCGCTGAAGGGATTTTTCAGTGGATGAGAATTGGTAAAAGATTCACAAATGTTTATTAAGAAAATCTAACCTTCAAAAATCCTTAGAACCTCTTGATTAATATAGTTCTTTATTTCTTCGAATGAAACTGCATCAGCCTGAAGGAGGAAAACAAAGGTCTGTTAATAGAGCATAGCACAAATGAATAGAGAATAGAAATATTGGGTTGGAATGCATACTTGAACCTTCTGTAGAGACATATTTATCAAGCAAAATGCTTTTGGCAACTCACTATATTAAGCAATAAAAATCTTTTGTTTTGATCAAATGCTAGGAAGAAGTTGAAGTGCATAATTGCTTTAAAAGCTGTGGGCTGAAATCATAACCAGTGATGTGAACATATTTCCTATTAAATGGAGAGACACTGCTTCATCTAATTAGGAAAGACATTTCATATTACTTCATTTTCTGAAGTTACAGGATTTGAACAGTGTGGTCATGATGTCAATGTCCCAGGCACGGTTTGACTTCTAACCCATCCCTGGACACTGGTAAAGCCATGATCTAACTGATGTCACGGATCTTCAAGGAAGACAACCTGAAAGAGAACTCTAAGTATGCTGGATTATTCTTTAAAATCTTTTATGCATGGGATAAAGCTTACTAAATATCACCCACTTCATGGTAAAGTTTATTCTGTAATTTGCACTCCACAGGCATATTTATATTAAACAATTTTTTAAGAGAAAATCAAGTAGGTATATGATGTCAGTTGAGCTTTTAACTTCTTGACAAATAAACTTACATGACTCTGCCAAAGAATCTAAATATTTATAATAGTAATGTTTTACTACAGACCTTGATATTTTAAAAGGGAACTATCATTTTTCATGATGGTTAGAATTTCTAAGTATTTTATTACTCTTTGTATTTGGTGGTTATTATTCAGGGGTGTGGCATTAAAGACAATGAGATGGGTGCAGAAAGTAATGATTTCTGTTAGGACACATAGTTCCAAGAATACCCTCTTTCAACATTTTATTTTCACTGTGTATGGGACAAATGAACTTGAATTAATGCATTTAATACCAATTATTGACACAGCGTGGAGAGGTCATTCTACAGGCTTTATTCAGGGAGAGCTTAGGGAGCATGGGTAAAAATGAAGAAGTAGGCAAGTTGTGGGAATGCTCAGTTTGACCCTGTATCTGGTAATGACTGATCACCTGAGGGCAGCCTGTCCTTCACTCCCTGACCTTCCTCCACGACTCTCCTTTCCTCCTGACGTGGACAGTTTCAGATTAGGTTCCTCTGTGCAATGGCCATCCACTGTGCCTCCTGAGGATACTAATGAAGACATGGACTTCTGTACCCAAACACTCCTGGTCCAACTGGTCTCTGCTTCAGAGCACTACTCAGAGCAGATCTGTTGTCCTGACAGTCAACAAAATGGAGTTTTACTATGAAACAGACATAGTATTATTTTCTGTGTAGTGTAAGGAGACATTAGAGATAGTAGTTAGGAGCATGGCTTCGGAGTCAGTGGAACATAGGTGTGATCCATGGATTAACTGTGACCTTGAACAAGTTGACTCTCAGTTCTGCATTTGTGAAAGTGGCCTGGGAGCCACTCCTGTCCCTCTGGGTTAGTTGTGAGGACCCAGTGAGGTAATGCACAGTAAGTGCTTAGCAGAGCGGCTGGTATATAACCTAAAAGAAATGACAGCTACTGTACCCTCGTAGAGATGAGGTTGGGTTGGTTCATTTTATTGATTTTAAAAGAATTCTTGCTTTCGTGGGAAAAGGGACATGTAGTCAGTGTGAGCCAGGAGCTCATGGAGCTGTGTGTGCCACTTACTGGAATGCCGGGGATGCCTGGCTGGCCCGGGGGGCCTTGGTGCCCAGGGGATCCCATGGAGCCCTTGATTCCTGGTGGCCCCACAGGACCGATGTCTCCCTTCATGCCCGGAAGGCCTGGCTTTCCCTGTTCACCTTGTGGGCCTCTGTCTCCTGGGATTCCCTGATCACCCTGTGAAAGAAAAAAAAATAATTATAAAGGATGATCTCTTCTATAACTACAAGAGTTGTGGTTAAGAGCAAAGGATCTGGATTAATATTGGCACTTATTAGCTGTAAGACCTTGGATAAGTGAATTAAATTCTCTGTGGCCAAGCTTTCTCTCCCACAAAGGGAGGATATTAATAGTGCCCACTAAGCAGGGTGGTGCTGAGAAATAAATGAGCAAACTCATGTAAAGTGCTCAGAACAATGCCTGGCACGGTGAAGGCACTCAGTAGAAAGTTAGCAACCATGCTGGTTGTGCCCAGTTTCTAGTCAAGAATAATGACACTTTTGAAAGTCAGTAATAGCAGTTGTCACTTCAAGCCTGGTCTCCTTGGCAATAATAAAGGAAGACAGTCAAGAGGATTTTGTCGCTGAGGTTTTCCACTCAGAAGGACTTCAGGGCACTCAAAATGCCTCCCAAATTGTGTGCTTTTCTTTTTCCTGCTTGCCCTTGTGTGCTGGGTCTTTATCAGATTCTGTGAGTTGGCTTCTGTGTTCGTGTTTTCTGTGAGTGTGTGTGTTTGTGTGTATGTGTGTGAGAAAGAGAGTCACAGGGACGAGAGAGACAGAAGATGGCAGGTGTTTCCGTTTTCAGACACTCAGTTCCACAACTCCATGGGGTGATGGCCACACAGGATACGATGGAATGGTGCACTGAAGTGGCCCTACAGCTCACTAGTATTCTTTTATTTGTGGCTTCTCTGCAAAAGTCCAACTATTTCTCTTGATTAAAACATAATGAAAACAAATGAACAATTATAGAGATCTATTTGATCATGGAATAAAGAGGTACAGAAACAAGAAAATAGAGGTAGAACTAATTTCAATGGTACTATCTCAGTTATAAAAATGTATCTGCATACAAGTATATCAACTCAGCTCCCATTTGGAGAAGTATCTGAGATTGGTAACACAAAAAAAGAGATAAAAGAAACACTAGCATAGTTGATCAATACCTTGATCATGTGCCAAATAGACATAATCTTTAACATATTAAAATCATTTTATAATTTAGGCACAAGGATGTTCATCATAGCGATGTTTATAATAAAAAATTGGAAAAAAACCTAAATACTCCCCAAAGGGGGACTGGATGGGTGAAATAAGGTGTATTAAGCAGTATAATGACATATAGTCACTAAAAGGTAGCTGTAGATATATATTTACTTGCATGGAAAGATAGTCAGTATATGTTATTAGGCAAAAAAAGTCATTTACAAAAAAATTTTGAGTCCACTTTTGGAAAAAGTATATATTCACTTGTATTGCTATATTAAGTATGTGTGTATGCCAGAGAGAGAGAGAGATGGAAATAGGGCCAACATGTCAATAGTGCCTGTCTCTGTGTAGGGGGCAAGGTAGAATTATTTTTGTATTTATAATATCTCTATTTCCATGTTTCCTTCAGTCATTATGGATTATTTATGCAATAGTAAGTAAAGACTAGGACACTAGACACCAATACACACACACACAGACACACACACACAGACACACACACACACACACACACACACTAGCAGCCCTTCCTAGAGCTCCAGGACGGAAGAATGCTTGAGAAACCTGTGGCAGTGGAATGCCTCCAGCTCTATGAGAGAATGTTCAGGCTCATTCAACAACATAGTGGGAAGTTGGAATAATGATATTAACAACCAAAACAATTAAAATGAAGGCATACAATGTAAGTGGCATCAGTAGTGACTTTGTACATTCAGTTGCCCTTTCCCTTTCTGTCCATCTTCACAGTACCCACTCACTCCATTCAGTATTCCCCTAGGTCAGGGGGCCTCAACTAAGGCAACTGTGCTCCCCAGGAGGAATTTGGTGATGTCTAGAGACCTCTGTGGTCATCCCAACTAGAGGGAGGGTGAGGCTACCCCATCTAGTGGACAGAGACCAGAGATGCTGCTAAATATCCTACGATGCATGGGACAGGCACCTACAGCAAAGAATGACTGCCTTCAATATCACAATGCTGAACCCCTAGTCTAGGTAAAAAGAACACGGTGATAGTCACAGTAGGGACATGTGTCTGAGACAGGAGGATGACAAAACTTTCCAAAGCAAAGTAGCAAACTAGACTTAGCTACGTATAAAAAAGCCAGTCATATATCTGCCATGTGGTCTGCTTCTGGGACCTTTAATTGTCCTAGTTTATGTCTAGCAGAGATCTAGGATCATACTGCTTTTTCGTCCTGAGAGGTTTTCATCCTAGGATCACTCTAACCTTTTCATCCTGAGAGATTTTTAGGAGTTCTACATACATAACTGTGAACTTGAAGGATGGGACAGTTGTAGCAGATGCTCTTAAACAATGATCAAAACAGTATATACATACACGTTCTCCTTTGGGGCCTCTGTCTCCAGGCTTACCCACGATGCCCTGCAAAATAGACATCAATGTGAAAAATCACTGCTTGCCAAGAGTTTTCCTCAATCTGCTCCACCAGGTTTTTTTCTGTCAGGAATTCTGCAATTTTGCATTAGAACATTTATTTTAAATGGTGTTTTCCATACCTGAGCACCTGGCAATCCATCTTTTCCATTTATTCCCTGTAAGGACAAAAAAGATTAATATTTCTAATTGGGTGATAACAGACATGGTTAGAGTAACAGACAACAAAAGGGTAAAGTTGCAAGGACTTAATCATATTTCCACAGAGGTTTTGGTGGTGCAGAGTGGTGACATGGAAAACAAAATCGATACAACCAGATGGCCTTGAATTTAAATTCTGACTCTGTCATTTAAAAGTTCCATTTACTTCAGACAATTTACTTTAATAGCATCAGCTTCTATACTTATAAAGTGAAGATAAAATAATGGCCTTAAAACTAAAGACTTTGTGAAATAACAGAAAATGCCTAGCTCACCGTAAACAGGCAACAGGGTGATTTTCATGGCTTATTCTGTGAGATACATTCTGAGGAATAAGAAGATGCCCCTAGTGCTTGGTGGCTGGGTCACGGCATTTACTGCTTCTGACTGACAGTTTTTTCCAGCACAAAGAATCATTCCCAGTAAATGCTCTCACTTGCTGCTGGGGAAATTTCATAACATGGTCAGAGCATGGTCTTAATATGAAATAAACTGTCAACCCGAGAATGATTGTTATTTTTCAGCCGGAAAATATGAAAGCAAGGACTCTGTAATCATGGTTTTTGAGAGTATTAAGAAGTGGCTTTTTATTAGTAAACTGGAAGTTTCCCAAACTTTATAAGGCAGCTCTGGAGGTGGTAAAGACCAGTCCTTGTCGGAGATTTATAAGTTGGGGAGAACTATCGGCTGGGAGATGTGAGAAGGAAAACCTCTTGGGGGTCAAATCAAATACCTAGAGTCTGACAGCAGATGTGTTTTTCAGATTCGATTTGAAGAAGGAGATCAAGGTGAGGAAAGTGATTTCTTAGCCAGCAGGCAATTGCATGGACATGCTCCTTTGAAAAGCTGAGGAGACTTTTATTGTGCACTGGGGAACGGGTTCTGTGAGGAACTGCAGATGACCGCATGTTTCCACTGCTGTAAATTACACTGAAACCTGTCACAGCTGAGAGCCCAGCCTGAGTCCCCAACCCCTTGGAAAGGTCCTGGGAATTATCTAGAGTACTTTAACTAAGAACGTGTTACCTGAAGTGTATGGTTCAAAGAATTTATGACACCCAGAGACACAGGCAGCAAAGATAAAGCTGATTAAGGAGAGGAGGTAAGAAACAAGCGTGTCACTTGAATAAAAGAAGATAAATCTAGTGTAAAAATGTAATTCATGGTTTTGGTAAAAATCTAACAAAGGAAATACCCCTTATAGCCTTATAGCCCTTTTTTTTGTTTGGTCTCATAATTCACCCAAGAGAGTCATGTGTATCCTCTTTAGTATATGAAGGTGTTATTAACTAGCTCTCTTGCGGGAGGTGTTTTCAGAGATTTTTAAATGACCTATGTGCACTGTACTTGCTTCTCTGTCCCCTCACCTCACCTATCTGGAAGAACCCAGTATAACCAACTCCCTGGCTACTTACTGCATGTCTGCATCTGAGCAGGGAACTGTGGTTGAAGAAAACCACGCATCCTTGCCCACTTGGTCCAATCTAAATGCAGGACAGCACACGGCAAGAAGCTCTCCGTGTTCCCAGGCCACCCTTCTGCATTTCTTCATTGGCCTCCCTTCCCTTCTCTCCACAGCACTCTTCCACATATTTTCCTAGCTCTTCTGAAGTCCAGCATCATCACCCCACTCCTCATGTTCAGCTGGTGAGCTCAATTCTTCCTTCACTGAGGATATAGATGGGAGAGAACCACCTCCCCTTCCTTCCTTCCACCAGATCCACCAGCTACTTGAATTTATGTTTTGACTTCTGCCTCCTGTTAAGGAGGGAGGAACTGCCCCATTTCTTGCTCAGACCATTCTCCATTGTGAGCGGAATACCGGTCTTCTCCCCTTACCCAGAGTTATCTGTACTGCCTTATACCATCAGAATTTCCCCTCGGCTGGGTCACCTTTATGACGATACTAACTTGATGCAATCTCCCCCACCATGAGCTCCACATTGCAAAATCCAGGGGAGAATGATCAGCTCATTGTCACTTATCTGCGTGTTTATCACTCCTTTCTTTTATTTTTTCTTTTATTTTTTTTAAAAATAGAATTTGCCTAAGTTTTTTTAAAAGATTTTATTTATTTATTTTTAGAGAGGGAAGGGAGGGAGATAGAGAGAGAGAGAGATAGAGAGAGAGACAGAGAGAAACATCAAAGTGCGGTTGCTGGGGGTCATGGCCGGCAACCCAGGCATGTACCCTGACTGGGAATTGAACCTGCGACACTTTGGTTCTCAGCCCGTGCTCAATCCACTGAGCTATGCCAGACAGTGCTTATCACTCCTTTCTTTTAAAACACTTAGTTCCTGTGACATCCAGGACCCCTCATTCACCTGGTTTTCTTCATATCTCATTGACTGAGCTTTCTTAGTTTTTCTGCTAGATCCTCTTCCTAACAGTGGAAGGGTCCTCTTTCCTTCCTTACCACAGAGACTCCGTCTCATCCAGGCTCAGGTTTAAACACCCAGATTAGTCTCTCCAATGGATTAATTCCAAATGCTTACGTCCATGCTGACTTGACATTTCCCGTCTTGGTCTTTCTTCCACAAACTACTCATGTTCAGTCTTTCCCGTCACACCAAACACGCCACTCTGACATCACTGCTCACGCCCCAAACCACAGCTTTGATTGTCTCTCCATCACACTCCACATCTGGTCCATCAGCAAGTCTGCTTGGCCTTCTCTTCAATCCCAGATACTCCTACCCCTCATGACCTCCCTGTTCTTGCTGCCGTTCTCTCTCACGGGCCCCCTGGCAGTTCCTCTGCTTTCACCCTGCTCCCTGCAGTCTGCTCTCCATACACCAGTCACAACGATCTTTTACAAGGTAGTTCGATCATCTTCCTTCCCCTTTGCAAGCACTTCAGTGACTTTCCATCATGCTTCAAGTGAAATCCAAACTCCGTTCAAGATTTAGAAGTTCCATCCTGGCTGATGTGGCTCAATGGACTGAGTGCCAGCCTGCTAACCAAAGGGTTGCTGGTTCAATTCCCAATCAGGGCACATGCCTGGGTTGTAAGCCAGGTTCCCAGTAGGGGGCTCATGAGAGGCAACCACACATTGATGTTTCTCTCTCTTTCTCTCTTCCCCTCTCTCTAGAAACAAATAAATAAAATCTTTATTTAAAAAAAGATTTAGAAGTTCCTTGTGGCCTGGTCACTGCCTACTTCTCCCTCATTATCTTTCCCACCTTTCTTTACCTTAGTTCATTCTGAACTCCGAGCCTTTTGCTGTTCTTGAAATACACAATGTTCTACTAGCCATTTCTTTTTCTTGAAACAATGTCCTCTCACCCCCGCCACCAACCTCCCTGTGGCTTGAGCTCTCACTTTGTGCAGGGTTTGCTCAAGTGGCATGCTTTTGCTGACCACCCTATTGAATGCTACTCTGTTATTTCATTCTGCTTAGATCTTTTCACTGTGTGTGTACTTCTCTGCTATTTGTCTGTGCCTCTGTCCTAGAATGTAAACTCCATGGATTGCTAACACCTAGTGCAATGCTTAGTATGTAGCAGGTGCTTAAGAAATACTTGCTGAATGAACAAATTGCTTTTAGTGTAATCCCCAGGGAACCCAGAGGTCAGCATTTCTGAGATGGCTCCCAGGGGTTGGCAACAGGGAGTGGGTAAGGGAAGGTAAAGGGGGCAGGGAACGAAACTGATGTTTAGTGAGCACCTCCCATGGGCAGGCCCTGGAAATGCTTACCCCACGTCATGTTACTTAAGTGACTCACAATACCCTTTGAGTCATAACTAAAACCCAGATCTTCCCAACGCTAGATTGCAGATGCTTCCTTTTTCTTCACGTGGCCTCCTCTGGGGAGAGATGGTAGTCAGGGAGCGCACTGACATGAAGGTGTCACAAAGATACTGAGCCAGTCGCCTGAACTCCGCGCTGCCTATTTACATTCAGCATCCTCCTCTCCTAACAGCACCCCCTTCCCACACACACCACAGCAAATAAAGAAGCCAAGGCAGCAGTGACCTTCTATGAAAAAAAATCCCAAGCCTGGGATAGGTCTCATTCATGTTTATATCCCCTTAGGGCCAGAACCTCCTTAGCAAACAGCAGGGACTAGAGGAATGTATGTTGAATTGAATTAGTAGGAGTGGTGGTTACAATGTCACAGTGATACTATATATCAGTAGCCAAGAGCTCTTTAGGACACAAGGGGATGATATATTTGGCAGTAATGATTTATGAAAGTGTAAGAACAAGGCACATATATAAAGAAGGGAACCTGAGAAACTAGCTTCTACTTTAGTCTTTAGCTTAACACAAAGGTGTTATATCTGTGAATTTTCATTTTCTTTACATTTTAGGATGTGATGGGCTATTTTATTTTTTAACTCCACTGAGAACACTAGAGTTAAGAAACAATGGGTCTAATTTCCTGATACTTGAAATGAAAAAAATCTCACCTTTCTCTTTCTTGCGTAAGACATAAAGATACCTCATAGAGAGCCAGAACATGCAGTGAGAACTACATCCCCAAATCCATTCGTAAACCTTCACTTACTTCCTTAGAAACTACTTATTTAAATCTCAGATTTTCGGAGGAGATAGGTGAAGAGACAATGCTTAGAACAGTTCTCAAAATGGCAAATTTCAAACCACAGAAGTTCTTACTGGCTTTCCTGAGGGTCCTTCTGGTCCAGGGAAACCGATATCTCCGACGGGTCCTCTCTCACCCTGCGGACATGCCCACAAACATTAATTGCCCTGAAGAGCTTTAAGAGAGTATGCAGTGTGACACAAAGACAGCTGTTAAGTGACCAACTCACCGGCTCCCCTGGAACTCCTGGAGGCCCCGGGGTTCCAGGTTTCCCCTGGGGGATCAAATCAAGGACAAATATTAGGAGCCAAATTACTGAATGATGCCCCCTGCTTAACCACACCCCTACCCCCACCACCCCCATGAGTTTACTGTGCTGCCCGGCTATGGCTCTCTCTACCAAAATGGCATTCCTAATGGGACAGAGTCCCAGCGACCCCAAACTCAACTCTGCAGGCTCTTAGGCACAGGCTGGAGTACAGTTCTCTGAAAGCGCATGTGTGTGTATGTCGGACAGGTATGAAGGAAGGATATATTTTAAAAAAAACATTAAACAGATGCATCTCCACTTCTGGAAATCCCTCTGGTGCCTAACTGACTGGCAGTTCTTTACTTTAGGTGGTAGTGGTGCACAGAGGGTCAAAGAAATGTTTCTTGTAAAACTGTAAGTAACAGTTTTACAAGAGGGTTTCAAAGTTTATAGCACGATAGCCTGACAAAGAGCTTGTTCGATTTGAAAAGCTGTGTTTTGTTGAAAGGGAGAGGACAGGACTGACTTGCTCCAATACACATTGACAGATGTGTCCTGAGGTGCTGACTTGGGAAGGTCCTGGGGTGGAGAGAGCACAGGCCTAGATGCGTGAGGAAAATGGTCCAGCAGAGTCTGGAAGAGGGAATGTGTAAGAGTTCCCTCCAGACAAGGCATAAGAATGTTGCCTTTGAGAAGGTCCTGTCTCTCAGACCTAACGTGGTTGGGAAAGACAAACCGAGTCTGGTGGTAGGTAGGTGTAGGTTGTGAGGGAATCCAATAAGGGAGGGCTTTCCCCTATTTGCTGTTTAGAATTTTGGCGGGGGGGCCCCCCTCACAGGTGAAGGCATGGCTGAGCGGTGAAGCAGGCAAACGCCAGGCTGAGAGGACATTCCTGGCTTCCCACAGCTGGTGTGGGCGAGCGGGAGCTCCCGAGGTTCCTGTGGGCCTGAGCTGGGGATGTGAGAGCTGAGAAGGCCAGTGTCCAAAAGGGTCTGGGCATGGGACTCAGGGATGCAGAGTGCTCGGGTCTTGAGATCTGAGACAAAAGGATGAGGCTCATAGACAGCAGACAGCAGCCATCCCAAAGATCACCTGGTGCCAGCGGAGGTCTCAGGGAGCCCAGGTGTGGTGAGGGGTGCATGCTGGCCAGAGGCCCCGCCCACTGCCAACAGGTACAGACCCTTCCCCTGTGCACTCACCCCTATGCCATCCTGGGAGGAAGGGGGGAAGGAGGCCTGGAGGAATGCCTGCACAGGCCTGAATATTCTAGAAAGAGTCTAGAATATTCTAGAACTGGTCTATTCTAGAAGAGCAGGATTGGGTTCCCTTGGTCGGTGCTCAGCAGAGTGACCACGATGTGTCTGACAAGGTGGGTCTCAACCAGAGCAATCACCTTAAAATTGTTTTTTCTTACTGTGGTTAAGATGTGCATAACATAAAATCTACCACTTTAAACATTTTAAGTGTAAAATTCAGTGGTATTAAGTATATTCACACTGTTGTGTGACCACCACGATTATTTCCAGAATATTTTAACTATTTTATTTCCCAAGCCACTGTCAGGTCCAGTTATAAAAAACTGCTGTGTATCTAATTACAGCACTGTTTATTTGCATGTGCAAAAATTTTTACCCCTTTATGATTTTTGTATTTGTCAGTTTATTCTTTTAATTATGAGATAAAAAACTGCATTTCACCCCTAATTTCAATCATGCTGCAGCCTTAAAAAATATCTTTGAAATTCTTCATTTGGATTGCTTTCGGAGTCTGTCACTCATCTTTTAAATACCTTCAATGGTTGCCAATGAGCTTTCTCTGAAGAGAGATTTAATTTAGGGTAATAGGTACAAGTGATTTGTAGTCACTCCCAGGTGAAGACAGTGGGGAATTAAGCCCATTATACTGTGTGGGAACAAAAGCAGGTTTGAATGAACATAAGGGGTGTGGGTTGTCAGGAGACTCGGGCAATTACATCGTTAGGAATGGTAGTGAGGGGAGAGGGGAAGGAATGCGATAAGCTGTGTCAACTTTTAAGAAGAATATTTTCTTATATAAAATATTTTGTAGTGCTTGCTAAAGAAAATATTTCCATGTTACTTTTCAATCATACTAATATTTTAACTTGATGTAGAACAGCTAAATAAGATGTCATCCTCTGTAATGAATGGTCTTCTATGGACTGTGGAGAGGTTTTAATTTTTGTTATTAGATTTAGCAGCTAAACAGTGAAGTAGAGTGGCTACTGGTCTTTTCAGGGATGGCATGGAGGTAGGTGGTGGTGGGTAGCACAGTAGCTGGTGGCAGGGGGCTCTGGGTGGTGTTGGGTAGTGGTGGGGGTGATGGATGGGCCCATTTCATCTTTCTCATATGAGTTCAAGCACCTGGTTTCCATTGACTTTCCTACCCTGCATCTACCTGGCGGGGGCACCTAGCAAGAGGATAAATGGGCTTTCATAAAGCATGACCACAAAATTTTAATTAGAGCATCATGAATGAAGAGCAGAATGATCCCTAGGGCTCTGAGAAACTATTTCAACCTTTCCTGGAGCACTTTCTATTCATTTGAAAAGACCTTGAGGAGATTAAAACATCTGACATCAGAGAGCAACAAAAATGATTAATATTATTGAAGGGCTAGTTTATGAGGAAACATTAGCAGCAATAAAGCTCTGCTAATAACACCGGGCTGAGGAAAAACTCAGGCAGACTGCCATTTGATACAAAGAACTTGAAGTGCATGCCCGAGGATGAGAGCTTTACCATTTGAGGACCAAGAAACCTTGACATATGGCAAAAGCAGAGAAACAAAAAAGACTTCTCAAAGCTGTGCTTGTCTATTAATGTACCATCACAGGTAACTGGGCTCCCTCACACCCCTTAGAGAATTGGGAAGAAAAAAAAACAAAGACAAAAATAAGAAAAAGACGAAAATGAAGGACCATTCTTGAGGTGGGAGAGGAACAGATGGTTTTCTTTTTTAAACTAGAGGTTTCAGGACCCTGGTGTCATAGGAGCCACCATGTGCTCCCCAGCCCGCCTGGACCCACAGGTTCGCTCTGGAGACACAGCTGCTCACCCGAGAAAATCACGTGAGATCATTTGGACTCACCAACATGCCGGCTACTCCTGGGGGACCTGCTGGGCCTCGATCTCCCTGTTGGGATAAAAAAAAATGGTACTTATGATGATATCTATAAAATCTTTACCTATAAAATGAGTGCTCAAATAATCATTTGAGTTTGGTTAAGCTTTTCTCTGGAATTGATAAGTATTATCAATATCAGCTGATGTGATGCTAGAGGGTCGATGGAAGCAAATAATCTTAATGAAAAAAAGCATTCATGTTATCATTTCTGTCACCTATTCTTAAGAGGACTCTGTATACTTACAGCTAAAATTAGTCAATATTTCTATTCCACACACTCAAAAGTAATTCATTACTAATACTTAAGAGAGTGAGCATACTGAAGTCTACTTAAAAGCTTTTCCTAGGCTTGTGTCATTGGATGTAGGGTTAGAATAAAGATATTTAGAACAAGGACTTTTGTAGTTCTCATTAGGCCAATCAGAAGATCCCTTGAATTGTTCTGAACAGCAGAGTGACTCAACAGTTTTTCCAAAGGCAATGTGGTATTTCAGATAAAGCTGACAATGCTGAAAATTTTATCAATTATATATGGGATGATAAAATGGCAATTTTTATTGAGCAGAACCTGCATTAAAAACTGCATGACTTTCTTCAGGGACATTAAAGAAGAGCTGATTAAATGAAGAGATATGTTTTGTTCTTGGAGGGTGAGACAATGTAGTAAAGTTGTCATTGCTACCCAAAGTAATTTATAAATTTAATGCAATTCTTATAAAATTGCAGCTTGATCAAATAATATTACAGCTCATTCAGGGTAATAAATAAATGAAGGGATAAAAATTTAAAAAACTTAAAAGAAGAATAAGATTAACAAATACCAGTGTTTAAACATAAAAAAACTGTAACAATTGAAATAATGAAATGTTGGTGAAAAATTAAGCAGCATACCAGTGAAAAAGAACAGAAAACTAAAAAACAGACCAAGATGTATAGCAAGACTTTAGTTAAAGAAAGGGATGTATTATTCAACAAAGAGTGTTAATAACAGAATGATTTTTGAAGTTTGATTCTTCTTCTTATACTCTATATAAATTTCATGTGGATTATGTGAAAATAGAATAATGTGAAGTATAAAATAAATAGATGAAAATATAAGTGACTATGTATCTTTGGTTGAGCATAAGAATAAAAGTCATTAGGGCATAAAGGCAAAACAAGATTTCATAAAGAAAAATAGTTTTATATTTGACTACATAAAAGTTTTATTTACATATACAATAGGATTAAACATAAAAATGAAAGACAAAGATGAACTAGGATAAAAACTCCAACATATAAAATGGAAGTAATACCTTTAATATATAAAGCATAGATAGAGTCAAATAGAAAAAGAACTAATAGAAAAGTGGACAATGGAAACAGGTAATTCTTGTTAGTTTCACTGTGTGCTTTTTGAAATTATGGGATTTTCACCCTTATAATGAATATGCTAGAACTTTTCACTCAATGGAAACATTTACATATCTGATAAAGATGAACATTAAGAGAACTCTCTGACAGGATGGTCCTTCCAACAATCAGGTCTTAAATTTCTTTGAACTACTCTCCTCTAACGATCTGGCCTCTTTCTTATCTCCAGAATTATACCTGAGGCCGTGTCAAGAACTGTAACTGCATCCCCTCATAACCTCAATTTTATGCATTCCAATCTTGGACCACCATCTCCTATCATTATAATCTATTCCTTTGAGTACCTGAACCCCAAAACTTTTGATGCCACCAAGATCTCTAATCCATTCATGGTACAAATTCTGCATTATTCTTCACTTGCTGGATGGCTTCTCTCCCTTACTAATCTCCCTTATTTAAATTCCATGGTCACCTGTTATAATCATTCTCCTGTGTATACTGCTAACTCTTTTGAGCTATTGTTGTTTCCAGTACCCATCTATCAAAACTGGAGCCTTGTTTAAACACAACTCCCTCTTATTCTTTGTCTGAGTGTATACATGGTTGGAAAAGCACAATTTTGCTGATCTGTCTCACTTCAGTTCATGACCATGAATCTTCAAGGGGCCCCTAGGATCGCCCAGCCATCACAGTCTGTGATCCCTGGACTCTTCCCCCTCCTAGAAGAGCTTCTCCTTAAATTTCCACCTCTTCTCCCTACTTCACTATCGCATGATGGCCTTGCTTCCTCCATCTCGGAGGATTTAAGCAACCAGGAAAAAACTTCTATAGACTCCAACCAACTCATCTTTCCCCATATCAGCATCTGTACCCCCATGCTTCTCTTTTCCTACCTGTTTCCACAGATGAACTATCCAGACTCCTCTCTGAAGCCAAACTCCATCCCTTTTAGCTATTTAGGGATATTTTAGAAGTTCTTTCCTTTCCTCCTATATCATTCCCCACCCTCCTCCACTTTCTATTGGATCATCTCTTTAGCATACAAAACATTCTGGTATTTCTATGGTCTTAAAATCCTTTTAATAAAATTTTGCCTACTTCCTTCAGTGGCCACTGGAGTACTTTTTGCTTTTCTTTGCAGCATGACTCCTTGAGCATTCATTGTTTATACTTTATTTACTGTCCCTAATTCTTTTCTTTTCTCATTCTCTCATTCAAGGCCAACAGATGCTCCTACCAATATAGTGAATTAATAATAATTACTCTGGTGTTACATGGCCTCTACATTGCTAAATGCAGTGGTCACTACTTGACCATCCATCCTACTTGACCCCATCCCCATCACTCTTGACCTATGGGCAATATTTGAGGAAGGCAATCACTCCCTTCTCTGTGACACATTATCTGTACTTGGTTTTCAGGATACCAAGTTATCCTTCTACCTCCCTGGCCACTTCATCTTAGTATCCCTTGCCAGTTCCTCCTTTTCTTCTTGATCTCTTAATGTTGGGGGCTCAGGGCTCAGCCCTTGATCTTCCTCCCTTTTCAAGAAGCCTCCAGTCATTCCTTCAGTGATCTTACCCACCACGCTCCCCTCACTCACTCCCTTGGTGTCCTTGGATGGAGCAGGAATGCTCAGGTCATTTAGACCTCCTGCCTCCTTTTAAAAAAGATGTACATATTTAACAAGTACAACTTCATGATTTGAGATATGTTTATATTGTGCAATGATCACCACAATCAAGCTAATTAACATCTCCATCACCTCACATAGCCACCACTGTATGTATGTATATGTGATGAGAACACTTAGCAAATTTCAAGCATACATATAATATTGTTACCTATTGCCACCATATTATACACCAGATCTCCAGAACTTACTTATCTTGTCTGGAATATTCCTCCTGCAGACTTGAGGAAGACTTGGCTAGCTCCCCCTCATGTCTTTCAAGTCTTTGATCAGCTCTTGCCTTCCCAGATCACCCTATTTAAAAATTACCAAGCTCCCCTTCAGCACCCCTTGTCCACTTTAACCTGCTCTACTTTTTCTTCCCGTTAGCACTCACCCACAGTAGTATTCAGTTGTCTGTGTGTGTTTGTTTGGTTTCTGTATCCTCTTCTTGAAATACACATTCCCTGAAGACAGAGTTTTGTCTGTTCTGTTCCTCATATATTCCCAAACCTAAAACAGTTCTTGGTGTGCAGTAAACATGTTTGAACATTGAATCAGTGACACATTTCTAACCCCTGTACTTACCTTTATACCTGGAAATCCCTCTAGTCCTGGCAAACCCATTGCCCCAGGTTCTCCCTGTTAAACACAAACATGAGAAACTCAGGAGCAATGATCAAAAGGATTTTAGGCATTGGTTTCAAAAGCAAAGATATATTTTGCCTAAAAACAAATTCCTCAAACATTGATTGGCAATCTAGGAAGTAAATTGTATGCTCTGTTTTCAAGAATTTGTATTCTTGCATTTGGTGTTTGAAAAGAGTTTGTGAATAAAGCTATTCCCTGGAGAACTATGAGTCTGTTTTTTGATTAATTGTTTTTATTCTGATTAAGAATCTAATCAGAATGAATCCCTCTAGTCAGTGATAACTCTAATTGCAGTAAGAATTGGAAAGAAAGGCTGTGTCTTAATGATGCTTGCCAGTCTGTGGGGTATCTGGGGCTGCCAGATTAACAGAAGATGAGACTACATTCTTTCAGAGTAGATGAAAATGGAGCCCTCAGAGCCAAGTTTATCATCTTCCAGTCTTCTCTGCAGCTGGACAGGCCTGGCAATGCCTCAGAGGATGACCCCAGATTGGCATCTCCAGTGATTTTAAAAGTTATTGATCTAGCTGATGTGTCACTGAGAGGAGATGGGTGAGCACTTCCATTAAAAGTGTCTTACATATGCCACGGTATGGCCTCAGGCTGACTAGGGACTGTAAGTCCTCAAGGAGCACATTTAGAAAGGTCAGAGTGAAGGAAGTGCTAACTCTGGGCAAATAAACATTCAAAGTTTTAAATCAAGAAAGGTAAGTGGGTAGCATATGACTTGATTTTTTTCTTTCTTTTTTCAATTAAAAAGTATTTTTCCATTATAGTTGACATTCAATATTATTTTATATTAGTTTCAGGTGTACAGCATAGTGGCTAGACAATTATATGATTTACTGAGTGATCACCATGATAATTCAAGGGCCCACCTGGCACCATGCACAGTTATTACAGTATTATTGACTATATTTCATATGCTGGACTTTACATCCCCGTGACCATCTTGTAACTACCAATCTGTTCTTCTCAATCCTTTCACCTTTTTCACCCAGTCTCTGACCCTACTCTCCTCTGGCAACCATCAAAACAGAAACAGACTCATTCATAATTTTTTGCTTCAGAAATCTTTTTAAATGTCCATTAATATGTAACCTGCCAATCAGAAAAAAGATATTCAAATTCTATCCTGCATAAACCTCTGTAAAAGAGTCCTTGGGTTATTGACAGAGGAAATAAGCTCTTTGGTTGTCTTTGTTTACATTCCCAACAATCCTCTGGACACAGGAAGGTGCGTAGGCAATCAATAACTATTTGTTTGAAAATAGCTAATAATTAAATATTTAATTGAAGGCCACATATGAACTGTATATCAAAGAAATGAAATGTAGCACCTCAGCAGATAATTAATTCAATTAACGATAATTTTCATCTAAAAAGGTTTATGGAGCAGACCAGAGACAGAGGTGATCTAGTGTCATCTTGGGGATACTCCTAGAGTAAATCTACCTCCACCCACTTTAACCTGACTTCCCATTATCTGCTCTGTGACCTAAAATCCTGCCATTCCTACCTTATTTCTCTGGCATAAGATATTATTTCTCCATACTGGGCACCCCAAGGGAAATGATGTTGCATGGTAGTGCTGACACAGAGTCCAAAAGAGTACTTTCCAAGTTTTATCTAAAAATAACTGGAAGGTTTACACAGGATTTAACTTCATGATCCAACACTCAATTTTTTTGTGCTTCACCCACTTAATTCACATCTTTAAAAGCAAGGAACATTGGCCCTGGCTGGTGTGGCTCAGCAGATGTAGTGCCAGCCTGAGAACTGAAAGGTCGCTGGTTCCATTACTGGTCAGGGCACATGCCTGGGTTGTGGACCAGGTCCCCAATAGCTGGTGTGCAAGTGGCAACCACATATCAATGTTTCCTTTCCTCTCTGTCTCCCTCCCTCCCTTCACCTGTTTCTGAAAATAATAAAAAAAAAAGTTTTTATTATTGTAGTTGTTAATGATAAAACTTGAATGTTCTAGAAAGGCTAGTGAGAAGCCTAGGTGTTCCTTGATGGTTCAGAGGGCATGCTCTGTGTGCGTGAAGATGAGAAGGAAACACCAGGAGGAGATGTTTATCAACAAGATGAAAGCAACTGATATTAGAATGAAGATATAGTTGGTGAATGAATGAAAAAGTTACAGGTAAAGCAAGGGCAGAATGAGTAGCAAAACAAAGGAAGCTTTTCTATGACATATTTGGGGTTTGAGAAATGCTGCTAACTGGTCTAAATCATGGTTTCAGGGCAAAATGAATTGGCTGTTGATATATAGTGCCCCACGAGAAAAGTAAGCTCTTTAATTCATCTGCTTTGAAAATACTTTTAGATGTGAAAATATTACTTTTTATGGTTAGTTCTTTTGTTCATTTAAAATTTATTCATCTAGTTTTACCAAACTATACTGTGAAGAAAGAGCCTTAAGTATTTTCACATGACAGTGTAAAGTGGCTCGAAAGTTTATTTGTTCAGTTTCAGGTACATCTGAGTTTCAGGTATAGACCCTGAAGCTAAAGGACATACAAATGAAACGTAAAAGATGGACATATGCTTAAAAAGGGCACAGCAAGGAAAAGCACCAAGGAATAAGGGGGATCTAATTGAATTTGGCAGAACTTTCACAGGGAAGCCCCACAGCTGGGAAGGATGCTTGAGAACAGTTATCAGCCTTCCGGCAGTGGCAGCGGAGGACCTGAGCTCTCAGGGGGTGGCACTAACCTCCCGACGCAGGACTCCTGATGAGTGGGTCGTGGCAGCTTGCCACATCCACAGGATAACTGTCTAACGTTCAAAGCACATAAATAGCCTCCCCTGTTTTGGTCGTGGAGATGGCAGATATGTTAAGGGATTTCTTTCCAGTAAGTGTTTCTCTTCCACAGTCTACTTAACATAAAACCAATCATCAAAAGCATTCTATTAGAAGAAAGTGTCCCATCTTTCAGGAGCTTTATATGTGCCTTCCTCCATCACAGGGTGACTTTAAAACACACTGATGAAAGACAAACGTCAAGAGCAGTGACCACATCAGAGCAGATGCATCTTACAAATGAAGAGTGTTGGGGACCGCCCTGCCTGGTCTCAGGAAGCTGTAACCCCCTGTAACTTAGGCTGAGTGAGAGACCTCTGGACCAGGAGCCACTAAGGAGACAAAACTTATTTCCCTGGCATGAATATTGCTTATTCTGTGCCGAAACCTCCTAGCTTCATCAGTTAGCCAATGACGGGTAAGATTCCCCACAGAGGGAATCATCTAAGACAGGCATGATCATGTGGAGGCTTCTGGGAAGAGACTTGGAGCTGTGGAAATGAAGGGGTGATGGACATCAACCTCTGCCCCCTCTTTGTCAAAGCCTGAGTCCTTGTTCTGAGAAGTGAGCAATCCAAGTCTCCTGGCTGCCTTTGTCTCCTCTGCTGACTCAGGCCTGTGGAAATAATAGGGGCGGTGCAGCCCAGACCAGAAATGGTGGACCCCCAGGGTAATCAGGCCTGGGACATAGAATATGCAAGATCCTGTGAGATCTGTTTGCTAGAGGATGTTATTAAATTAGAATATGAAGGCACAAGCAGGAACAAAACTAGCCCTTTGAGCCATATGTTAAAACTCCAAGCTCTGCCCAGAATCACAGCGGGGGTTCTGTCTGCACCTTTGTAAGTCACCTGCTTCTTTTGATCTTTTCTGCCAGACTGTGAATCCACAAACTAAGTCTGTATTCTCAATAAAAATCTGCTTGGGAATGGAGACAGGACGCTCTCCACTAGAGAGAGTGGCCATTCTGTCCCTATTTCCCCACAGGACCTAGTTGTCTCTGTGTATGTTTTTTTCGTGTTTCGATGAGCATCCGCAGTAGAGATGGATACTGCTGTCCAGTATCTGCCACAGAAGAGGACACTGCTGGTGTTTCTTCAGTGGCCGGCCTGCTACCTCCAACGTGTTAACTGATGAACACCTAAGAAGGCAGGGCATCTCTGCCTGGAGCTCTTTTCCCATGCTTTAATAAAGACCTATTTTCTAGATGACAGAAAACACGTGAATATACATACCACTGGTCCAGGATCACCTTTTGGGCCCTACAAGAAAAAAAGGCAAGTCATTTTAAAAATAATGACTGAAGCAAAATGACAGAACATGAAGCATTTCTGCCCAATTTGCTTTAATACACATAAAAATATTTGCAAGTTTTGTTTTGCTATTTAGATTTGAAGAATAAGTTGAAGAAACATAACCTGAAGGAACTGCCATGGCAGTGATTGCTTGGGAACTGATTTCGTTCTTAGGTTTTCTTTCTTTTTTTCTTCTGTATTGTATCTTATTAGTTCTTAGATTTTTCAAGCAAAAAGTGACACAGCTATGTGTAATGCTATTTTTCATTATTTTGGCTGTGTACATCATCTCAATTTTATTATCATTGTTTTCATTATTTCTTCCAGCATAAAATTTTGGTTCTATATATTTTGTGTGTGTGTGAACTTTGGAGTTTTGTTTGTTTTCTTTTAATTGTGGTTATTCAGCTTGGTAATACTCACAGGAGGGCCGGGGGGCCCTGGATAACTGGGAACACTCATACCGCCCTTCAAAAAATAAAAAGAAAAAGAGGGCAAGAATTATATTAATACTAACTGAAAAATTACTTCATATGATTATAAAAGTAGATACCTGGATTTTATATAAACTGCTCATTCCATTTCCTTCAGTGAATGGGATACCCTTAGGAAAGAAATGAGATACAGAATTATTCCTTTAAGTTAATGGCGTCTCTACCTTATATCTTTTCACAAAAAGATATTTTCCCTATTCTATTTTAGAAAGTGAGTTTAACACTATAAGTAAAAGAATACAACATTTCTATTTTTGGCTTTTCAAAAGCAAACACAGAGGAGAGAATGAGGAGGAGTGTGGACTACAGTTGGAGCACAAAGACATGGGCAGCAGGGGTGTGATTAATGTTCAGGGTCGACAGATGAGACACTAATGCATTCAGAGGAAAATATTATTTGTGCATTAAAATTCAGTTTCTGAATTGCCAATTTATGCTAACTGTTTACAGCCTGCTGACCTGCAGGCTATAACGCAGTGCTGCTGATGAAGATGTGAACAGGGAACAATTTGGCTGCTGAAAAGTAATTTTTTTCCAGTCTTTTCATACTAAATAGAAAATTAAGGTTAAATGGGGGAGATGATGTTACTCACAACCTTGTGTGGACATTGCCACAAAAACATATTCTTTAGAACAACGGGGAACAAGAACTTCCTGATAAAATTGGCCAGAGAATGGAGAGTCCCAGAGTGACTACCACTTAAAAAGAACTAATTTGAGATCTTTAAAACTCACACATTTTGGCTATGAAAATTTTAGGATCTTTTATCATTTTTAAAGAAAGTTTTAAACAATCAATAAGTTACAAATGTAGATTTGTGACGTCCACATTTCAGGTGCAGAGGTGAAGAAACCATCACTTCACTGTGTGAGGACAATCATGGTTAGTGGTGCACAGTGAGCATGACTCACACGTCTTCAAAACACTGGTGATGGAAGAAACACACTTCATTCCTTTAGCATTTTATTATTTCACACATTCATTTGACAACTGCTGAACGTCTACTACATGTTAATTTGCTAAGTTCAGAAAGACAAAGGGTAATTTTGTTTGAGATCCCCCCCAAAATGAGTAGAGGTTTGCCCCCAAAAGGCAACATTAATCTGTCTCAAAAAATAAGAAGTTTTGGAGAATTCAGAGGGAAGAGGAAGATTTCGTAAGCACGTTGCAAAGTACAGGTATCTTTCATGAGTTCAGGTTATATTTTTGCTGTTCATGCCACTGGGGAGGGAATGCATTTTAGATTTTGAGCCCCAAATGCTTTCTGCCCTGTTTCCTTGTTGGAGAGAAGGTAAGTAAACAAAATGAAGACCAGGTTTAGGAAAACTGAGGGTAAATTGCTTTATTTATGTGTGCAAAGCCTGCATTTGCACAAAAGTGTTAACATATCTTTGTGGCCTTCATAAAGTCACAGAGGAATCCTGCCCCTTCTCCACTGAGTGCAGCTCCTTAAACTGTTCCTGTATTGTAGTGTGGAAAAGAACCTTTGGCCTGGCCCAAAGTTCAGCTGCGATTTGAGCGTGGCCCCACATGAGGGCAGACTTGCTACAGAGAGAGGTACCTCTTCTTCCCACAGTCTTCCTGACAAAGTGCACATCTGTCTCAATCAAGAGCATAAAAACAACGATGGCTCTTGTACATTTTATTCACTAGGTGCTATATAAATAGAATTTCCTTGCGTCTCAGACATCATGGACAGTAATGAATACATACAGCACAACACCAAATTTTGCACCAACTCACATTGCTGGAAGGGATCTTTTTTTAAAGCCCATCTATTTTCTGCGACTGAGGCTCACTGAGGTTTAATGACTTTCCCAGGGCCCCCCAAGCAGGAAGTGGAGCATCTGGACACATACCCAGGTCTCCTGAGTTTACAGTCAGGAGGCCTGCAGGATGCCAATTTGAGCATTTCACACTGGAGCGGAGCTAAAGGGAAAAACCAGGTCTCCCCAAAGCCTTTTCCTGAAAAATCAGGAAAAATACTAACATGTATATTTATACACAAAACTCAGGTGGCTTTTTATCCTTGAGCACATCTAAATGTAGTCTGACCTCTGAGATATAGATGTCTTAAGTAGACACACATGAATGTAAGTTTTAAATCTGAAACAACTCACAGGCGGTCCGGGTGGTCCAGGTCTCCCAGGAGGCCCCTCATTGCCCTGCAAGGGATATTTAGACCATAAATCAATGATTTAGACATTTCTACCCCAGGTTTATGAACCGGTTTTACTTTGTCGGAGAGCTGTACTCTGAAATCAATATGGGTTGTCATTTTGCTCAGGCCTTGCAAAATCTTGCTCAGCTTGGCCTTTCTCTTTCATCTGGGGAAATACAGCTCCAGACCAGAGAAAAGGTAAATGCCTTTTCCCCCATTCAAATTCTTGCTATGGGTGCCCCAGGGGTGAAGCCTATTTTAAGACAGAGCCGGACACCCAGGGGTCAGGCTCTGAGATGTGGCTCTTTGGGTCAGCCCCTCACTTTAGCCTCACCTCCACAGCTTCACCTTTTGGGAACCAGAGGGATCATATGCATAATTTGACCAAAGTAGAAAATCACAGCCTGTTTTGTGTCTGCAGGAAGAGAAATTTCTTTCACTTCTGAGGTTAATACTAGACTTCATAACCAAGGCAGGCCTGTCCCACTGAAGAGAGGAAGCCGTGTTTCAACACTGTTTAAGGAAAATGTTCTATGCACTTCAAGAGCTTCAGACATTCTGCTTACAGAAGCAGCAGACTGAAAATGGAATCTGTGAAAAATGAATTCAAGTTGAAACTTGAAAAATGGATTTCACTTTTATTTTTACAAAACACAGAATGCTTATTGGTCCCTGATAAGCAGAGGTACTGCAGTCCCCTTGGTGCCCTTATTAACTTATTCCTGTAACTTTTCCTTTAGAATCCTTTAAGTCTCTGAACATGAGGAGCAATGGCAAGAAGTGGTTAATTAAAAAAGAATTCAGAGAGAGTAAAATTCCTACTTACCATGCCCAAGAATTTTGAGGGATTTTGGTCCATTTCCATAAATTTAAGGAAGGATTTCATTCCAGTCTCCCCATTTTTAAAAGAAACTATCTTAAAAACTTTTTGTTTGTGTATTTATTAATAAAAATAAACTGTCAAGTCGACCTTGTGATGTACCTGACTGAGAATGGGCAACAATGCATGTATTGTGTCTTTCGAAAACTGCTTTGATGGTGGCTGTCTCTCTAAGGAGAGCGGCACTCTGCTGACTGCTGGCAGTGTCCTTCAGAGAATTATGTCATAGTTCTCATGAATGAGGAGAGGACGACAAACAAGGAAAAATATGTGCCTATTGAAAAGACTTTTTCTGGCACAAGTAAAAGTCATATTTTCATTTTTGATTATGCCCCAAAGCTCATCTCAGCGTGGAATTCCCATCAACTTCAAAAGGCAACTCTCTGACTAAATAATTCCCATAGAGAACAAAGCCGGTGGGGCTGGGCAAGCTCCTCGAATACTGTCAGACAAATGTGCGCTGAGACTATCTAGAATAAGCACATTGTGTCCTTTCAAATTCCTTGGGATTCCTTTGTTTCTTCATGCCATTTTGCCCCATTTTGGTCATTTCAGGGTAGAAGCCACTTGTGTGCTTCATGTACTTTTGATTCTTTCCTAATCTGAAGAGCTAGTCCTATTTCACTCATTTGCTGGCTCTGTTTGCATTCATACTGTGGGGTCAGTTTAGATCCTAATCGGGTAAGCTTATGCAGCCCTGTGGTCTTCCTGTCTGTCTCCTGTATTGCTGCTCCTTTTTCTGACCACCACAATCTATTTGTGCGATCAGTTAACCCAGGGAAACAAGTTGTCCTGGTTCCTCAGTCCATTTCCCTCAAATGACAGAACTTCCAGATCTGTCTGCATTTATTAAAAGCCCTGCATTTATTGGAATCCTGGTCCTGATGATCAGCCCAACCTCTGAAGCTTGGGCACCTGTGGCTGCAACTCCCGATACAGACCACCTTACCCACCTCTTCAGGGGGCTTCCCCGTACCATCCTTCCACAAAGCTGCATGCCCAGGACGCTAGGTCCAGCTTGGACTTCTGCTGTATAGCACAAGTGCCCTATTCATCCTTTTCTCTAGAACATATCTCCTGCATTCGTTCAGACCTATTTTTGGACCTATGCCCACCATAAGAATAGTTATTCCCTGACATCATTCTACTCTCAAGCTTTGCTGGACGAGACTGATCTCTGTGTAAGTGGTCACCCTGCCCTGACCCCAGGCCCCAATTCAAATGCTGAGGCCTTTCCTCTGTACCTTGTCACCCTTTGCTCCCGAGGGACCAGGATGTCCAGTTCTTCCCAATAAGCCCTGTAAAACACAAAACTCAGTTTGTTACAAAAACAACTAAGTGGACAAAGGGTATTGAAAGTTAGTCTAAAAGTGATACATTTTGAAGGTCATTTAGTTCTAATTAAATCAGTCCTACAAGCTTGCATTTCTGCAGGCTGATACAGCAGCTGTATCCTGCTGATAAGCTGTTGCAAGGGTAAAATTTGTATTTGTGGTTGCTCTTCACCTTGGCCAACCACATTTAATGACCTTAATTGGAACCTTTTGATACATTTAAGAATTTAGCCTTGCTGTTTAAATGGCAATTTACATAACATTATGCCTCCCTAAATGAGCTATAATTTTGGTAGCGATCAACATTTTACATACTTCAAGATGCGCAGACTTAACAGTGTGCATACTGAGTCATGCGATCTGCATTTTACCATGGAAAATAAAATTTAATTCTAATTATTTTTGTGAGAATAGAGTTAGGTATAATTTTCATGGTTCCTTTCACAACTCTTTCTCTTAACTTTTAATTTTAGTCTATAATTTGAAGCCAGGTTTGCTGTGGATAACTGTGGTCAAAACATAAATGATAACATTTTAATTATGGCAAATCTATGGTTCAAACCACTTAAGGAATGTGACTACATTCCTGCTTGTGTGGTAAACACCATTTGCACAGGGACTCTCAGAAGGGAAGAGTTGGAGAAGTTAAGACTTGAGTAGATTTGCTATATTTAGCAGATAAAAATACAATAATTGGGACAAACATTCTAAGAAAATTGTTCATGTGAAATTCAAATTTAACCACATGTCCTGCATTTTAACTGGCAACACTAGGCTTGAGCTTTACTTTGTGAGAGACTGGATTTAACAGGTGGAAAGGAAAAGAGATTCTGTTTTAGGAAAACAGTATGACCACGATGCCATGTCTGAAGGGCAGTGAAGAAAGGTGCTGAGTAAAGTAGAGGGTGTTTTAATCCGTAAAAAAGAATAAAAATAAATGGAATCTGATGATCCTTGACCCATTACTTTTCCCTATAGAAAATAAAGTCTTAGTTTATGGTGCTTAAGAATGTAAGGATGTGATGATATAAACATCTCTTCCAAAGGTAGATGCTAAAAAATTACAACTAAAAAAAGAACATTCTTTTATACACAACTTCTATTTAAATAGACTAGCTTAACCACAGACTGATTTCTCGTCTGGCAGAATTCTGATGAGAAATCTCCACAGTCTTGAGAAAACTTAAGTAATACTAAATGAAAATCTGAGATGGGGTTGCCACTTTTCTAGGCAACAGCTATATACTCTACACAGAAGCACAGAGAGCAAAAGGCAATGAGGAACAGTAGTTCACCGTCCATCATTCCAGCAGGTGTGAACTCTGTGCAGAACAGTTTTAGCAAATACTTACAGGGGGTCCCATTGGGCCTGGATCACCTGGAAGGCCTGGAATTCCTTGAAGACCCTAGAAGAGATAGTTTCCACTATAAAATCTACTACATTATTGAAAATAAGTCATAGTTAATAAAATATTTTGACTATTGAAAATTAAACATCTATGTTGGCTCATCAAAAAACACGATATAAGCCATATTACAAATACCCGTTTTCAGAGAGTAAGGATGGTGAGCTTAAATGCAGTAATATGGAATCTGTAACCAACATAATTTAATGTGTTTGGTGATTCCTGGGGCATTTCTGACTCACAGAGCCACCCATCAACAATAGCATCACTGAAAGCCCAGCACATTAGAGCATGCAATACAACTTTCAGACTGGCAGGATGCCATCGAAGAAATACTTGACTACACTAATGCTTCATTCTGCTAGTGGAAACATAGAATGTGTTTTATGATACAATATTTAGTTTAGCTGGCCAGTTCATTATAAGAAGGAATTTGGCTCATTGGTGAATTTAAATTTGGAAACCTTTAATAGCTTAAGCATATAAATGAATGGTATCCCCTTCCTTACCTACTTGGATTTGTGGAATAATGCTAATTATACTGGATAGGCTTTAAGGTGGTGATACATTTATATAATCAAGGAAGGATTGGCAAGATTAACTGGTTACTTGGGTAATTAATTTCTTCCCTTTACCAAGTATGTCAAGAACAGCATATTAGTTAAATAAGTTACATATGATCCATAACATAAAACTTTGGCAACTATTAAAATCACATTTAGGTAAAGTATTGGATAACATGGAAAAATAAAAGTTGCTACATGGAGAAATAAAATGCTACATAGGATAGGGTCCAAATTATAAATGCACTTAATAAAAGATGAGAACAGTAAATAGAGGTTTACCATGCCTTATCTAGAAACTTTAGTGTCAGATGTGTTTCATTGTTCTAAATTTTCAGATTCTTTAAAAAACAAAAGTAACACAGTGCTCATAATGCATACTACGTAGCACTTCCAGTTGTGTCCAAGGCAGCACCCTCTAATAAACACACAAACACTTCCGTAGCAAAACTTATGGTATTCTCACCGAGGGGGATAAATAGCCCATCTCTGTGTGAGTTCAAGTCAGGTTTTGCTGCCAAATGAATTTGCTGCAAACTTGGAAAAATTTCTAGGGTTTTCAGAGGCTTCTGAGTTTTGGAATTGTGGAGGAGTTGTGGACTATGATATTGCTATTGCCAACAGTTCTTCCTGGAGTGTGAAAACAGAAATAGCTTCCTTTTTTTTTTTTTTAGTGCTTCTGTGTATTTCCCAAATTTCCTATAATCAACTTAGATGACTTCTAAAATTAGGGAAATATACTTTTAAAAGTACCCTTTTGTTATTTTAGATAACCACATGATGCAGAAAGTTGTAGATTAAATGGTTTCACTCTTTCAGGATTTAATTGTCTTTACTGACTGATCTTTTTATATTGCCAAACCATTCATTGTTGTAATAAAATTTCTTTACCGTTTACTGTAATGCAATACATATTTTTATACACATTATAAATATTAGGTGAGGTGACATTGATTAAATCACTGCATCTTTATTTATGAAATTTCTATAGGACCAATATTCTATAAGATCAAGGCTCTTTGCATAAATGGGTTCAAAGACCAAGCTCTGACAGGCCTGTCTATCTAATGCCGAATGGGATCAGATGTTACTTCAGGTATTTTCATGTGAGATGATGTGAATAAACACTGAAAAGAATCTCCTTGAAGATGCTGATATTTCTCGTGTAATAAGAGTCTTGGGTAAAATCTCAGGTATGTTCATGTCAAAGAATGAGACGTGTTGTTTGTGCCTGGAAATTTTATTCTCCTTTTAAAAAATTTGTTTCAAAGATTTTATTTATTTTTTAGAGAGAAGATTAGGGAGTTTATTTATATTTTTAGAGAGACAGTTAGGGAGGGACAAAGAGAGAGAGAGAAACATGGATCGGGTGCTTCTTGCATGGCCCCAAATGGGGACCTGGTCCTCAAGCCAGGCGCATGCCCTGACTGGAAATTGAACCTGAGACTACAGGTGGACACTCAATCCACTGAACCACACCAGCCAAGGATCTCCCTTCCTTTTAACTTCTCTTTTACGTTTTCCTGTGGGCTTACACTTTGGGAATGCAAAACCAAGGGGACTTGTGGGCTAATTCTTCTTTCCCTTCTGCTGCATACCTCCTTTGAGGCAATGATCACAGCTCCATGCTTGAACTGGAGGTTAAACAAGAGGGGAAATTCAGAGACAAAAACACTGTAGACTCATATCTCAAAATAGCTTCCAGCCACACAGAGTTGATTAGGAGCTGAATAAAGGTGAAGCCATGAAAATTAATGCAGTATTTTTATTTTGTTAAAACAAATCCATTGGTCTATCTCACACTTTGAAATCACACTTCTGCCGTCATTAGAAAACAACTGTGCAGGGAATGCTGTGGGGGAGAGGGGTGGGAGGAGGTGGGGGGTGAGGAATGGTGGCAGGAATACACCAATAAAGAAAGAATGTGGACATACTCTTTCTCCACGATGATGTCATCTGCACTGGGCAATGCTGTGTGTGAGTGCATGACACACAGCATGGACATGTGTGAATGATGTTCATTAGCACAGTGTATTGGCGCTCTCCACTCCCTGGCCATTCACTTGTTTGTAGGTGTACAAGCAGAAGGAAAACAAATTTCCTTTGGTAATGGCACTTCTCAATATCTGGAGATTATAAATGCTATACCACAAACTGCCTTGCCTCAAAATACCCACATCTTCATAAAATTCTCTCTATATGTTCATGTACAAAATGCACCTGCATACATATGCATTCCTTCCTTTTCTTTTTAGTTTCGACACTGAATCAGTGTAGAGATGCTAAGTAGGTCGTTAGGTAGTTGAATTTATAAACTTGGGATTCACTAACCTTTGATGACCACATTAAACTTTAAAATAAAGCTCAGTCCATAAATTTAAAAAAATCATTCTCAGCAATCTTTTTCTGAACAAGCTGAAATTTTGTAGTTGGGGTAAAAGTTACTAGGGAGGCCTAAAGGGCAATAAGATAATTTTAGAGGACAAGATGGTCATTAAAGAAGAGAAATGCATAGTAAGGAGCAGGACAGTCAATTTAGCATATAATGCCAAACTAAAATACAAATTAAAATTTATTGCATAGATATTCAGGGACCACTAAATTCTTTCCCTGCTCTGATATTTTGGTTTTGCAAGTGCTTGCTCAGTTGCTACCAAGAATATTTATTTATTTATTGTGGTAAGTTATGGTTGACAGTATTTTCATGTCGCACTTTTAAATTATTATCCTGAAATACTGGAGCTCAGGCCTGCATTCCCAGCAGGAATGTACTCTGTAAGAGGTGTGTTCTGTTAGCTGCTTACTAGTTGCCACCTCGAGCTGTGAAACGACATCTGCACAGACGGAGGATAGCGTCACTTTCTAAGAGCAATAAACAGAGAGGCAACGCCTCTTTCTCAGTTTCCAGGTGGATTAAATTGAAGGTGCAATAATTAGAGGTCCTCAAAGAGACGGGGTATCTATCCCCCTTTATCTCTTCTACCTTGAGTACAATAGGTATTGGAGATTTGGTAGGAATAGTTATTGTGTACATGTTAAAATAGTATAGTGTATTAGCCAGTTAGAAATGTGTACAGTCTTGATTGGTTTCATTTTCTTTAGTCAACAAATTATAATTTCAGGTAGTATATGAGTCTAAATAGAAGGCAAGATGGTATTTCCCATCTGTCGGAGAGGCAAGTGTTGCTTTGCCACATTACACCCCAAGTGGTCCAGCGGAGCCAGGGTGTTACTTCAGGTTTATTCATATAATTTGTGAAGAAACAAGTAAAGAGAATCTCCTTCTCGGCTTGCTGGGATTCCCTACGTAATGAGAGTCTTATGAAAAATTTTGCATACTCTGTGTTAAAGAATCCATAAGGTGTACTCAAGAAAGAACACACTAAGATAGTAGAGGAATAATAACAATCGATTTCAGTTCACCAAGAAGATGAAGTAACCCATAAATCAATAAAAATTAACTTTTAATAAATTTAATTTGAGTCATTTATGAAAAGCCTGAATTACGATGGTTTCCTGGTCTTTTTGTTATTACCTTCTCAATTGCCTCTAAAGCCTGCCTCTTGGATCCAGGCAGCTAACCACTGTTAGACTGTTAGAATCAGACACTGTGCTTGCACTTCAGTGTGACTTTGTATGGAGCGTGAAGAAGCCAAAGCTCAATAACTCTTACTTATTTTGAAAATAAAATGCCTTTACAGTTTTATTTATGAATGAAAATAAATACTATTTTCTTTGTTCTTTAATTTTTAACTCAGAAAAATTCAAGAGCCAATCCCCAGTTTTCTGGAACACAATCAATATTAATGAAAAACAACACCCGATAATAATTTATAATGTCAAATATAACTCCAACTCAAAAACTAGATCTACTTCATATCATTATGATTTTCTACACTAACATCAAGGTTAATATATGTCAGATGGCTTACTTCCTTTCATTAAGAATTATTAGTTTCAGAACTGTTTAACTAACAACAATTCATCATCCTAATTGGTTTTTCTGAGTCACTGTGAGTTATGCAGGAAAAGAATGATATCCCAAGCATCACCATGGCTTGGAGGCAGAAATTATACCATCACCTCAGAAACACATTTGACTTTGAACTTTAGTCTGTGGGTAGGCAGCTGATTTAAGCTAGTCAAATCAGATCTTTTCTTCCAAGAGTTTGAAAGTTGAGCGGAGACCATGACAAACCAAAGTCATTGAAGTTGAGTCATGTTATAACAGAGTCCCAGGGAAGTCCTGCTGAATTTGGGGGCTATTCTTTTTTTTTAAAGATCTTTCAAAAGTATTTTAAAAGATTTTATTCATTTATTTTTTAAGAAGGGAAGGAAGGGAGAAAGAGAGGGAGAGAAACATCAATGTGTGGTTGCCTCTCATGCCCCTACTGGGGACCTGGCCCACAACCCAGGCATGTGCCCTGAGGGGGACCCGAACTGGCGACATTTTGGTTTGCAGGCTGGCACTCAATCCACTGAGCCACACCACCCAGGGCGATGGGGGCTATTCTTATCTCTAGGGCTGGTTGTTAGCTATTCTTTCAATTCTACCAGCAACCTTAGAGTATTTGTCAGTGAATCTCCCCTTCTCCAACCCCTTATATTTATTTTGAGAGAGCTGGAATTATCATCTGCTACATGAGAATACAAACATAGTAACTGATATATTAACTTGTGCTTCAATTTCCTTGTCTTAAAAACTGGACCACTGATAGTAAACCTAAACATATTATTATTTAAAACATGCTAACATTTGCAAATACCTACCTAAGTCATTGTTTTTATTTGTGTTGGCATTAAACATGAGCTCTAGGAAAAGTGACACCTTTCTTTTGTTGAGTTACATAAAGAGAATTGATAAGACTATTTTATCAGAAAACAGTCTCTTACCTCGTCGCCTTTTCCCCCAGGTATCCCAGGGTAGCCTTGTTCTCCTTTGCTTCCCTAAAGAAACAGTAGATTCAGCTAGTGTACTCAATCATTTTGTCATCTTTTGAAACAATGACAATATCTCTTCTCAAGACACTTGGGCCATGTAATTTGGGCAGAATTAGGGAACAAATAAATGACATCTATAAGTAGCTCTATATCAATTTTTCAAAATATTTTTGCAAAAAGTAGTGTATACTAAAATGGGTTTCCTTTTTTCACACTGAATTGGAGGTCACATAAGGGAGAGTGAAGAAGAGACTTCCTTACCTTTGGTCCCTCTCTGCCTGGGATTCCTGGAGGGCCCCGTGGCCCTGTGTCACCCTAGAGAGGACAGGAGAGTGACAGATCTGAGAGAAGGTACTGTGTGTCACCTACGGGCCGATCAACATTCCTCTTGCCTTCTTACCTTCCGGGCCAGAGAATCGTACTTTCCAGGCTCACCAGCACCTCCATCTTCTCCTTTGTTGCTTTTTAGGCCAGGGACACTGGTTTGGCAGTTGCCACAAAAGTTCTGATGAGTTTAAAGATAAGGTGACTGAGAGATCCATCAAAGTCATCTATAAAAGTGAGGTCTGATCAAACTTGAAGTTCTCTCTGAACATTTTTCAGAGAGAAGTAAGACAGTAATTGCTATGTTTCTACTTTCTGAAACTAAATTTATCCAATTTGAAAAGACTACTTCTTGTGAGGTAAAAGTTACTTAGGAACCTAGTAAGTAATATCTGTTTATGATACTGGTGAGCTTCAATTTAAGAAAACATGTCTACAATGATATTTAAAAAGAAAATTCTAAATAAATAAGGAAAAGACATGTAAGTCGAGAACACAGGCTGAGTTTCAATTTCTTAGCAGCATGTTCAAAAGGAGAGGTGGTATTAAAGTTTGGAATAACTATCAACATAACAGAGTTATGCAACCAATAGCATAAATCCTTAAAAGAGAAAGAGAAAGCTGTGAAGAAAGGATTTTTCCTTCTGAGGGCAAAATTAGTTGGAGAACCATACACACAGTTTACCAACATTTTATTTGTCAGTGGAAGCACTCATGTGAGAAATAATTACTTGAGTGACTTAGACTTGGCTTCTGTGTCAAATGCAAGTACAGATAGGAAATCTAAGTGGAATTACCTTTCCATTGCCTTCTCTGTAACCTTTAGCTGATCTGGAAAGGCTTGAATTTAAGTGTCTGAGCTCACAAGATAAACTTCTTATCACACAGTTAAAGAAAAAGTGTCTGTGGAAAGCCTTAGAAAGGTTTATTTTTAAATAAACTGTTAAATAAAAATATGATCAGGAAAGACACAGAATAGGGACCATTGAATGGGGACAAAGTTTACTTTTAACAGTTGACAGAAGGTAGGACAATATAAGCCTCTACTCTTTCATCCTTTTCACCAAAGGGAAGAATGTTGAAACGTGAAAAGGGAATTAAAGATTGCTATTGTTGAAGTTAGCAAAAAAAAAATTGCCTATGACTATTCCACTTCAATATTTTTTAAAGATTTTACTTATTTATTTTCAGAGAGGGGAAGGGAGGGAGAAAGACAGGGAGAGAAACATCAGTGTGTAGTTGCCTCTTGTGCACCCCCTACTGGAGACTTGGCCTGCAACCCAGGCATGTGCCCGGACTGGGAATCCAACCAGTGACCCTTTGGTTTGCAGGCTGGCACTCAATCCACTGAGCCACACCAGCCAGGGCTCAAGTTCAATATTTTTGACCTAGTAAATAGCAGCATAAATCTGATTTCAAAATATATGCTTCTTGGAAGACTAATTTTGTATATTATTGAAAAGATGTAAAGTAATTTATCTAAAAAAAAGTGCTGGGCTAAAGAGTGTTCATTGGGGTGGTCCTCCTTAGAGCTGGGACATGGTGATTGAAAAGGGAGCTCAAGTGTTCAATGTTTCCCAAACTAATTTTAACACCAGGATCTTTCCATAGAATTAATATGTTGGTAGAGGAGTTAAAAATACATACATAATTGTAGATGACCCCTCATATCTGAAAACTATGATAAAAAAGAGGTCTGAGGACTTATGAGAACCAAAAAGGTTTTCATACTTAAAAAATGATGAAGAAAATGAATTATTATATCTGTAGACATACATATAATTGTGGTATTTTGATACAGAGTAAAACCTTGGCATATCAATATACAATAACATTTTAGAATGGATTATTCAATTGATTATTTTAATAAAATATAAGAGATGGTAATTATTATGAGGCAACAGAATTTTCTAAGAGTTATTTCAAACTGACCTCATTTTTTCTTTTTTTTTTTTGTTTAGGGTTACCATAATGGTAAATTCCAGGAAACTAGTTTTCATTAAGTTTCTTGAAAAAATATCTTAAGACTTTTATGAAGAGAATAAGGGTGCACCAGTTGTTAGCTGACATACAATCTCATTCAAAGAGGGAAGGAACACAATGAACCTGCAGGGCAGTCTTTGACAGGCACCATTTGGGCCTGGAGTTATTTCATGTTTTTTTCAGTATTTCAATCAAAGATATTTTTGAAAACAGAAAGCAGGATGATCAAGTTTGCTAAAGACTCAAGATAGACAAGGAGAGTTAATCTGTTGGGTAACAGGATCAGGATTTAAAATGGCATTATTAAGTTGGCCTAATGGATCCAATAGCCAATGTAAATTCCTGTAGTAGATTTTGCCTTGGGGAACTACATGTTTCCCTGTTCTATTGAATACAGTTTGTTAGGACTACCAGTCAAGATGTCCTGCCCACCTCTCCCCGCCAACCTGCTCTTGTGGGTCTCAGAAGCGTGGCTGAGATGCTAGGATTGGCACAATGGCACAGAACACTTATTACAGGGGAGCTGCCCTGATGAAATGATCCACTTCTGAGACCCATAGAGTCCTGGTCCCTTTTCCTGTCAGAGCCTATTCACAGTCTTTTTGTCTATTCTGTGAGCCACCCCATATTCTATCAGGATGTTCATTTCTGCTTAAGTGTAGAGATTTTTGATCCTCAAAGACCAGTATTTTATAATGATATAAGACTTACAATTCTGCTATTTACAACATTACTGCTCTTAAAAAGAACCTAAGACAATGTCCGAAGACCCATAATTCTGTGTTAATGTGACACATACTAGCTGTGTGACCTGGAGTAAGTCACTTAACTAACTGTTTGGAACTCCAGTCTCTCCTCTGCAAACGGGGACACTACTGCAGCCTAAACCCACAGGGTAGTTGTGTGGTTGAGTGAGAGGCCACGAGTAAAACAGCACATTGCCTGGCATGCGACTGTAGCTCACTAAATATAAGGTCGCCCCAAAACTCCCGTAAATACTCTTTTGTGACTTATAAGAAAACATTGGTTTTTGAAGGTATTAAAAACTTTTATATTTTTTATATATTGATATTCATATGTACATTTATATATCTATTCTCAAAACTTTAATCACCTAACAAATACATATACTAGAATCCCTGAGTCTTTCGGATTTAACAAATATTCCTGCCTGCCTACTATTATTGCCTACTAGTCATTGTGCAAAACACCAGGCAGGTGCTAGGAATATAAAATGAATCACATATACACACATGTAGCTTAAGTGTATGCATATGTATTTGTGTGTGTACACGTATGCACTCTCCATTCATACACAGACAGATAATACACGTAAGGTCTGAATACAAGGTAAAGAGACATATTTTCCTCTGGATTCTCTCAGTCTTAGCATACCACAAAGAAACACACAAATACACAGTATCACGGGTGTCTCATTATTGTTCTTCCTCTACCTGTTTCACATGGGGAAGTATTAGAGAAAAAATGGTAGCAAGATTTATTCCCTATGAGTTGGAAATAGCTATAGATAGACATATTTTTTATTTAATAGAGTAACAGGTGTTAGGGCAGTTGGTGGCTTTGGAGTTTTAGAGTTCATTTTGTAAAATCCCATGCCATCAAATCTCAGCCTTGCAAGCTGGCTGTTTATTGAGCAGCACTGGTTTTCATCCTCGGTCTGGACAGGCCAGAGATGGGGAGAAGGACAGGGTTTCTCAGTGGTGAGCTGGGGTGAGTAAACGCCCAGTAAGAGAGGAGAGATGAGTTACTCCATTCAGTGAGTGTCAGTGACACCATTCTTCCCTTAGCTCAGCTCAGAATCACCCTCTCTCCCCTCCCCCACCCATCTACACCCAAAATGAGATGTGGCCCATGAAGAGAGTAGAGGAATTAGTGTAAAGGGTGCAGGGTACATAGAGATATGTATTTCTTTTTATATGTAACATGTCTTACATATGTTCTGCCATTTAAAAATTGAATTTCAGTGTAGGCTAAGCAATTAGCTCAATTTCTGATATAGATTTCCTTTCTGATTTTTCCTGGAAATTAACATGTAATTTCTTACATAGCAACAAAGTACCTTGAGCAAAACACCAATGTCTCCCAAAAGAGGAAGTGCAATCTGTGGTGGAGAAAGAAACAAATATGTGTATTTGTACATGCACAGGCACCCAAGACAATACAAACATACAATGCAATGTAGACATTTTTGAGAAAGAGTCATTATTCCTCTACTAGGAATCCCAAATGCATGCATATTATTGCTTTGATTCTGCATCTCTATTTTATATTTTCATGACTGTGGCAAGCAACCTTTATGCCAATCCTAACATATTATTGGTTTTACACTTGCTCTCAGCCAAAAGGCTGAGAGCAATTTATCATTAGTTTTAAATAATGCATAAAGGTAAATAATTTATTTAAAAAAACCCACTCCTCTGCCAGGCAAATTATTAGGTTGTTGAGAAATATGAAAATTACTGGATGAGTTTGCCTTAAAGTTCTTTCTCACTAAAGTTCAGAAGAGCCTATATATGGCTGAAGTGATGGACAAGACAGACACTGAGGGAATTCAGGCAGTGTTCTGGCCTCATGTCTTAAATTGCCCTTTCAAAGAGACACTGCAAACCCAAGTAACACTTTACTCGATTCCCAGATGGCGCACGATGATTCACTGGAGGGTGGAGTTCAATTATGGCCGAAATATGCCTCTGCATGTAGTTTATAAAGGCACATCAGGCCCAACCAGTGTGGGAAGTAGAAGGATTTGTGAAGCTTAGAAAGGAGAGGCCGGATTTGGATTTTATTATATAAAACTCTTAATACAATGTCATGTACCATAAGGCCTCTCAGATTATAGCTGCTGATTTTGAAGCTATCTAAAGGGATTTCACTGTCACTCAAAGAAAGGTTTAACCTAAAAAAACCTTTGGAACACACATTTAGTACCTAAATTCATTTTGTAAGAGCTCATTCAAGCCACTTTTTGTAATTTAATCATTTAATCATTTTAAAACCTCAGAATCAATGGATCTGTACCATACTGCAAGTAACTTACCTGCAAACTTCTATTTAGAGAAATGAAATTCATTTAGTCACCAGCATTAGAAAGAATAGAAATTGTGGCTATATATTTTAACTCAATTTTCCATGGGATTGAGACATTATATGCTAAGGCTCAGCCTGGGGCAAAATTGTACAGCTGAATTATACCCTTAGGAAATAAGTATTCATCACACAAACAAAAGTGCTGACACAGCTTGAATTTTTCCCCCTTCTACAAAATAATGGGGACAAACAAAATCGCCAAGCAGTCACTGAGCATTCTAATTAGTTTGGACAGCAAAACTTGCTTGGTAGGCTGTTTGGTTTCTGGGTGTATTAAGGGTCCATAAATCAGGCCGTCTGTCAACATACCGGGTCACCTGGGGGGCCTGGAAGACCTGGCTTTCCATCCTTCCCTGGAGCTCCCTGAAAATGGAAACATTATGCTCAAATTTCAGCACAGCAGCACAGGAGCAGGTTAAAACAAGTGTGGCGGGCAGAGTGGGCCAAGACTGTCCTTACATGATTCCCTGGAGTTCCTGGCAATCCAGGGAGACCTTGAGGACCCTGGAGAAGGGTGGAAATGGTTACTTATGAGAACAGTCTTTCAGTCATTTCCCCCAAGTAGTAAGCTGGAAATGCTGTGCCAAATAACTTGATTAAGTAGCTTACCTGAATACCTGGCACTCCAGTTGGTCCTTGGGGGCCCTAAGTAGAATGAGATCCAATGATTAGAATTCTGCCAGCAATTTCCATAAATTACCCAAGTGGACTAAAGGGCTAAGTATTTCAATTTATTTAGTGGACCAACAGGGCTTGCCACCGTGCACGTTCTGAAAACTCTCTGGAAAGTCAGCCAAGACTTCAGGGTGACAGGTAAACACCTAATTAGATGCCTGTTGCTGGAAACATCAACATGATCTTGCTCAGGCACCTAGGTGTCTCTCTCTACACCATCATCTGTGCCTGTGCCTCCACAGATGCACAGACAGTGCATCCAGATTCTCCCTATTCAGAAACAGACTGCCCACAGGGTAACCAGATCAGGGTTTCCTTCCCCTTCTGCTTTCCACTTTGTGACATTTCTGTTTGAAGAAATTTCTAGAACCAATGTTCAGTGACAGGAGTATGAAGTAAAACATTAATCAGTTGTTTGTTTCTACTTCAGCAAGTGGGAGTCTGGTGTAACCAGAATGAGGCTGGGTGATTATCAGTGACCCTAATAATGATAGGTCTAACCCTAGTACACGAGGTCTGTCTGGAAAAAGTCCAACCATCGTTAATACAACGAGAATGGCTTGCATGACATCGATGTAACCTGGCACCCAAGGAGCGTGAACTGGAATGCACATGTGTGAACAATGATGACTTCACTGTACTAGTCAGTGGGAGCGGTAGATGCCATTGAGTGAGCACGTGCACTGTGTGGTTATTGCATTCAAAAGGACTGAGCTAGTAGAGCAGCAAATCTCCATCAAATTTTGAGTTAAGCTTGAACATTCCTTTGCAGAAACTATTTGGATAATTCAGGAGGTCACAGCTATGGACAACTGGTGATTGGCAGCTTCATCATGACAACGGGCCCACTCATGCATCACGTCTCATGCACAGTTTTTTTACAAAACATCAAATCACCCAGGTGACTCAGTCCCCTTACAGCCCAGATCTGGCACCTGCGACTTCTGTCTTTTCCCAAAACTAAAATCACCTTTGAAAGAGAAGAGATTTCAGACTGTTCATGCGATTCAGGAACATACAATAGGGTAGCTGATGGCGATTAGGAGACTGTGTGAGGTCCTAGGGTGCCTGCTTTGAAGGGGACTGAGGCATCATTGTCCTACGAACAATGTTTCTTGTATTTTGTATCTTCTTCAATAAAGGTTTCTAGTTTTCATATCACATGTCTGGATACTTTTTGGACAGATCTGTATAACCATGGCACTGAGGAGGCACTGACAACCTAAGTAAAGAGCTGGTTTCTCTGCAGCTGGTTTCATTAACTATTTACTAACATTTCCTTTCTTATTTTTAAAAATAAATATTCATATCACTGTTATTGTCAAAGCTACTTTTACTCCCCTTCTATTTATACTGTTATTATTTTTTATTTTTTGCTTCAATTTGTTCCACTCACTTAATAATTTTCCAATCAACTTTCTAAAATTTGGTTTAATCTCAAATCTCCAATGGTTTTTTATATTCTTGCTCTGGTAAATCAAATGCCAGTCACAAACACCACAGCCATTCACTATTTACACTTTCTTTTAGCTCTCATGATAACTTCATTACAAAACCAATTTCCCAAAAATTAATGTCATTAAAATAAATATATATTTCTATTGTTTTTGTTCCAGAATCTTTATGTTTTTAATAGCAAATAAAAAGCTTTTCACTTATTACTATTTAGTGAATAAGAAGGTATACACAGTGGTCACCATTAGCAGGCCCTGTCCTTATAGCTAAATCATGTCAAAAAAACCTGTCTATTCTTTGCCTTAACTGTTAAAACAATGTCTACTCTCTCTTCTTTATGATAATACTTAGAGACTTTTGCTATCCCATTCACACATACTCTATTCACTTTAAATTTTAACTTTTACTTTATTTTAGTTAAAAAACATATAGTAGTTTATAATAATCTAATATTAGATATTCTTATAATCTCACAAACACTCACTGGCACTTTTTACATACACCGAATATGGAGAAATATGAGGTTGTATCACTGCTTCTGTCCCAGAACCAGGATCTGTGTGATTGGTCCGGGAGTCAGTGCGCCATGAGTGCCTCTGCGCCCAGTGATGCAACCTCAGCGCTGTCTCATTCTCTCCCTCTGCCTCGTGTGTACTGGTATTTCCTTCTCAGACCAGTTTATGCTTTTCTCGTTTTCAACTTTGTCACTAGATTTTATTTCATGATTTGGAATCAACAGGGTTTCAAAAGCTCAACTGAATTTCACTTACCATTCGGCCAGGAATTCCTACCCCTGGAGGGCCTGTGTCGCCTGGGGAACCATGGACGCCTGGCAGCCCCCTTTCACCCTGTAAAGTGACACGCTTCTGTTGGTGCAAGGCTAGAGGCATGTGACTTTTCTTGCTATATTTTATTAATTATTAATTCTTTAAAAATTATCTATGATATTTTTATACCTTTGGCCCACGTGGACCAGGAGCTCCAGGATTTCCATCTAATCCCTCAAAAAAAAAAAAAGACATGAGTATATTTCTTTTTTCTAAAAAGGTTAAAAACATTTTAGAAATCATAATTCAAAAGTGTCTTATTGCTCTTCATCTTTCCTTAATAAACCTTTTTTCTATAAGAGAATAGCAAACAAGGAATACAAATTTTATTAGGTTATGGGTTTTGTATAGTTGCATTAAAATATGTTTTCATCTTTAAAATAAGGCATCTGAGAGCAATGGGGAAAATTGGGACAACTGTAATACAATGGTAAAAAAAATAAGGAATCTGACACTGAGAACTATTTATTATTAATTGATATACAAGGTCAAAGGAGATGAGACAATGCATATAGAATAGGTGTATTGGTTATTTAGATATTTCTATCTAATGAGTTCTCTGTGTCCTGGAAACAGCCTGGACCACAAGGACATTGTCTTCAAATGACCACCTATGGCCAGGCCTGCAGAGGCCCTTGAAAGGAAATTTAAGGTATTTCTTCTGTTTTAACATAGTGTCCTAGGGAGGTTTATGGTTTAAAACCAGTGTTCTTTACTAGGCTCTGTAGATACCTAAAGAATCTATGCCTTCGGCAGAGGGAGCCTATGAATCTTCCAAAATTGGCTGTAGAATGGTGCATGTATGGGCATTTGCTTCAGAAGAGAGGCCTCTTTGCTTGTACCAAATTTACAGAGATCGGGAAATATCACTGAAAAATAAGATGGATATTTATTTTTTCTGCAGATGTAAACATGTTCCTATTCTTGTAATCTGAAACTGGGAACATACAACTGATAATTAACAATCTGTCAAGGGAAAGATTAATAAAAGGGCTGGTACTTACTGGTTCTCCTGGCAGGCTCTTCCCTGGAGGACCAGTCTCCCCTTTTAGACCTGGAAGCCCAGGAGGGCCTATAATCCCACCTGGCTCTCCCTGAGGAAACACGGTAAGATTCTTACTTCACTGCTCAAATTCAGGCTGGGGAGTGCGGAGGTAGTAGTTTCCATTGTTTTAAGATGCCATTATAGCCAGTCAAACTTTATTCTCTCATTCAACAATATTTACTAAGTACCTCATTCGGGCCAAGCACCATTGGAGTTATCTTAAATGCATTTAGATTTTGCAGTAAGTTATGTTAACAATAACTTTAATGGTATCATGACATATTCATGTGCATAAACTGATGCACAATAAAGGCATTTATTCAAAAAGTTCTTTAGCTGACCTTTATGTTTTCTTTAAGTTACTCCCCAGTAATGGTTTAACATTAATATACTATTCCCACAGAGACATTAAGAAACAGGTCCAGAAAGATGAAGACTTCTTAGGTCTATACCAGTGTCAGCATTGGAGCCTGAAATAGACCTTCTGAGTCCTGAGATCTTCATCTCTAAGTTAGTTCATTTTGTCCTCTTGTGTTTTTATGCCAGAGCCAGGGCTGCCACAAATGCCCGACATTAGGTGGCATCATCCACACCATGGTTTTTGTGACTGTCTCTGCCCTGCACAGTCCTGGCAGCCTAGTCCTGCTCTTTCACCCCTCCTATGCCCTCCTCTGTTTCTTCCTCTACCTAACTCCTGGATATAAATGAGTATAAAATGAGTAATGTGGAAGCTATACCTTTTCTCCTTTAATGCCTTGTTTTCCTGGGATACCGTGTTCTCCTGGCAATCCCTAGACAATTCAGAATTAAAGGGAAAGAGCAATTAGAACATCTTCTATGATAATAACAGTTCTGTCTGTGAGTCTTTGTCAGGAGAACAGAATTTAACATATAAAGTATGTGGAGATAGGTTGCTTTTGGTCTGTTAGGGAAAAACTTTAGTGAAAATATGTAGCTTGTTGTTTCAAGGGAAGCAACCAGATGGAATGAGAAAGAAAATAAGGGAAAATTGAACCAAAGGCCCATCCATTGTATGCCAAGAAGGGGTGGGATGATGATGGTTTAGAAAGACAATGGTAAACAGGAAAATATGCTTTTACACTATTCTAGCAACAGGGGCTCTTTCCCTTTTGATTTTGTCCCCTTTTTAAGCTCTAGCCACTACACTGCACCTAACTTCATGGGCATCATGTGGCTCCATCTGTGTCACCAGCATTTCCTCACTTTGCATAAGATCTCTTGACTAGGTACCCCTGGGATTCTCCATTAAGTGGCTTGGGGGAGCAACAGAAAGCTTAGCTCTATGAACTGAATGTTCAAAGTACCAAGCAGAACAAAGTGAGCCTAAAGAGAGACCTCTGGAGCATAGAGAATAGAGCGAGAGGTCAGGGGGCTGTCTCCAAGATGATGGCAAAAGGAGAAATTGGATACTTGTCTAGAGGGCACTGGAATTGTGGCCAAACAGGAATCAGTTTCCAAAAAGATATGGTCAAGCATTTTCCCTGTTTTACTCAAGTCAGGACTGATGGTGTGTGTTAGTTCCCAAAGTGTCAGAAGGCTAGGGAGATGTGTGTGTGTGTGAGACACATAGATGAGAGAGAGAATATGAGTCCACTAAAGCTAGATTTCAATGAAACCTGAGGACCTTTCTCCAATTGCATTATAGAAATATTTTCAGCCAAAAGACTTGTTCTTTTTGGAGGCTCTCTCAAGAAAACAACAATAAAAGTTTTGGAAGTTTTTTTTTTTATGGAGAATTAAACCAAAATCCATGCATAATGGAAATGCTTGCTTTCTTTTTTGGTTTTCATTATTTCTTTCAATGTTTTCCACCTCCTTTATTATTGGCATGCCACTGACAAGCACGTCCAAATGATAGTTTAGTTAACTTGTGTCCCAAAGACCAACTTATTAGTCTACTGGTATCCAAAAGGACCTCACATGAATATGTGAAGGTTCCAGCCTTCTCCAAAGCCCCTGACACTAGATGTGATCAATTTCAGTGGTAGAGGTGATGACCTATGTCTTCAGAAAATGCAGTACAACTCAGTCATGTGAACAGATGTTGACCTGCTTTAAAACATGTCTCAGTCTCAACTTAATTTTCCAATATCAAATACAATTGTATCTACTATACATACAATATCTCCTGGGGGTCCTCTGGGTCCCATAGAGCCTGCAGGTCCTTGCTGACCCTAAAATAGAAGTATGTATTTTAATGTGGCTAAGAAATTATAACTGCATTTATGTAAAGCATGCTGTGATTTGTACTGTAGAAAGATCAGCTTTCCACCACCCTACCTCCTCTGTATAATACAGAAATGTGCTTGGTGCTTACAAAGATAGTTTCAAGATGTTCTCATATAAGTGGGTCTGTTCTTGTCAGCAGGTGAGGCCTGGACAGCTTGCCTTACCTGGTGGGAGCACATCACATTGAATCTCTCCTGCACCTCCCAACAGCAGGTCTTCTTGGGATACTTCCCCAGAATCCCAGATGGGGAACTCGAGCATCTCAGAGGGGCACAATTTTGGTGTAGTAATTGAACCCTGAATCCTGTTTACTCTAACAATATAGTTCAGGGTCACAGATTTAGCTCACATCATTTACTCTTGATACTTCTAGGGATGCTATTATACATTCTGAAAAAGGGTTTAAAACTCCTATTGTGAACCAAAAGGCACAGTTACTATGTATGTAATAAATGCAGCAAATGGGAGCCTATCACCATGGAAACATGATAAAGCCTCTGAGAACATTTGTGAAGAAAATGAGTGGCATCAGTGCACACAGAAATGGCTACAACTGCAAATTATTTCCTCATTTATTTCAGTTATTTCTTATATACCTTTAGTCCTGGGTTTCCTATTAATCCAGGGGGACCAGGATCTCCAGGTTCACCCTAAACATATGGGTGGGAAGGAAAGGCAACTGGTTACTTTAATTTTCACATTATTGTGAGGTTGAAGATACAGTTGAAGAATGTCAGATTACCTTTATTCCCTGTGATCCTATCATCCCAGGTTCTCCCTGTAAATAAAATAATCACTACAGATGTAATGCTTAAATTCAGATGGAGATGAGCATCTCTAATAATGAATTCATTTGCATTTCCACTAATTAACATACAATAAAGGGGGGAATTATGGAGTCAAGGAGGGTTCATTTTAAAACATGATTTAAAATATTTATTGCTAATAAATAATATTCCATAGCAATCATTGCATTCTATACTTAGCTGACATTGTTAAAATTTGTCACTGGCTAATCTTGTATCTCAGAGAATTAAAAATTCTGATGAGGAGATACAGTAGAAGTTAAGTTGCTGTGTTGTGGTGATTCTACTATCAAGTATATATACTTTAAAAAATAAAACAAAATTAAAGGTTATACAAAAGACAATGATATTGGCTATACTGAGCTTGCTTTTATTATTTTCTATTACTTATTACTGATCCTTTTAATAAAATTATCGTGTTTGATAAATCTAATTTGTATCATTAACAGAGTTTTTTTTTTTAAAGATTTTATTTATTTATTTTTAGAGGGGGAAGGGAGGGGGAGAGAGAGAGAGAGAGAGAAACATCAATGTCCGGTTGCTGGGGGTTATGGCCTGCAACCCAGGAATGTACCCTGGCTGGGAATCGAACCTGGGACACTTTGGTTCCCAGCCCGTGCTCAATCCACTGAGCTACGCCAGCCAGGGCCCATTAACAGAGTTTTTGAAAAATACTATATCTTGGATTTTAACTTTGTAGTTTAGATATCCTAAGTGGTTATATTTCAAAACACTCATTTACAATAAAAAATAGTAATGGTTTAAAAAATATACACTACACATACTGAATGTTAAAGTGTCATCGCATGCTAAAACTTAACAAAGTTTAAAATTTCTCATTTATTAAAACAAAAGAGTCAAAATACACAAAAGAAAAAGTAAAATTCTCAGGGACCTTATTTTATCAAATCTATTTGACTCCAAACTAAACATACAGACAACAGAGAGAAAGAAATCAATAAAGCAGAAAACCCAAGACAGTGATAAAACATCTACTTACTTTATCTCCCTTTTCACCTTTTGTGAAAGGTTCCCCCTAGGAAAATGGGTAGAAAACAGAATCAGCTGTAAACACCTCTGGAAATCAACGCTCCAGAACTGAGAGAGGAAGCAGGCAGGCCAGCCCAGACCACCGCTGCCGATAGGCCTCTGCAGTGACCCAGCCCGTGCGGCTTAAAGAGGCACGATGAGAATTAGTTAAACAAAAAAAACTTTCATAGTCCCACAATGAACAATAAGTTAATCATTTTAATACTATTTTGAGATCCTGAGTGGCTGACAAGTTGAAATGCTGCCCAAGGCCAAAGTTTCCTTTTGCATGGTTCCCATAGAAGGTGATTACACACACACACCCCTTTCTCTTACTAGCTTCTGTTCCTGAAGTTGCATGGACATGATCTCCTTTACTCTTATATCAGTGCTATGGGGAAGAGATTGTCTCATTTCAAGCATGAGGAAAGACACTCAGAAAGGTTCTGTAAGTTATTTCCCTTAAAATAGCATTCGCTCACTTTATGTTTCCTATTTATCCTGCCTATAAACCCTGCAGATGTACAGATATAATTCATCTTGACTATCATAACATTTCTAGTGTACACTGTTGGTACCCAATAAAAATTTAGTAAATTAGAGAATTTATGCATTTTTTAATCCTCACCTGAGGTCATTTTTTTCACCGCTTTCAGAGAGGGAGGAAGGGATTGAGAGAGAGAGAAACATCTATGTGAGAGAGAAACATGATCAGTTGCCTTCTAGTATGTGCCCTTCATTGGGAATGAAACCTGTGACACTTTGTCTACAGGAAGATGCTCCAACCAACTGATGCTCACATCAGCCAGGGCAGTAATTAGAGAATTTAAAGTTATGCAGATATTAAAATAATAGACATTACAAAAATAGAATTTGTTAAAGTTTTATAATGTATCAAACACTATTCCAATCATATTATATATATTAACATAGTTTATCTTCAGGTGTCAATGGAGTAGGTACTAAAAGTATACTCATTTACAGATGAGGAAACTGAGTCACAGAGAAGTTAGGTAATTTCTCCAAGGTCACATAGGCAGTAAGAGGTCATTTAGGATTTAAGCCCAGGCTTTGGTAGCTTGGTCTGTTTGATTTGATTTGTTATTTGATTTACTTATTATTTGAATGAGATGAATTGACAATAGGGTGAAAACTACAAATTTAAAAACCATTTAAAAATGTTTCTTTTGTGAGAAAACTGTGAGAACCATCAGACTACTCTTAGAAGTTCTTTCAGGGATTGCAGTTTTCTTAAACAAGTCACTATTGAGAAATAAGTGGTTACTAATGAACCTCTGGTGTTTTCACCTCATGCCCTATGAACTAGGGACTATGGGCTCACCTTCTGTTCCCTATTTCCTGGCTCCCTTGCAGTTACATGGGGCCTTGCAGGTAGTTTTGGCAATGAAATGTGAACAGAAGTGACATGTGCTACTCATGGGCTAAGGCAGAGAAAGCCCATTCACGGTCCTCCAGGCCCACTTTTCCCACAGTGCTGACTATGAAGGTTGTGTATCCCACATGGCTTAGCTACATGGTGGTGATCAGCCTGTAACTAGTGTAGCATGGAGAACACCCAGCCCTCCCAACAGAACCTACTGGACATGCAGCATGAGCAAGAGATAACCTTTCTGGGGTGAAGCCACAGAAATTTCTGGGGTAATTTGTTGCTTAGAGTAACCTCCCCTACTCTAATGTGCCCCATATCTAGCCAACATCATTAAATCTCTTATTATTGGTTCATTTCAACATATTACATCAAGGCTTTATTTATATTCTTACCTTTCAGCTTTAATTCTTCAAAATCTACTTGATTTTTAAGATACGAAATGATATTAATTAGATATAAGCAATGGGCCACAATGCTTATATAATAGCTTGTTTCTGCTAATATCACATTGCTTATGTCATTGCTCATTAAAGCCACCATCAAGCTACATTGACTAAAGTAAATGGTTAAAACAAAACAAAATAAAAAATAGTAACCTGTTTGTCTAGAGACTTGATGTTCTGTTCTCCCTCCAATGGCTATTATCTAGATCAAGCCACTTACCTTTTAGAACTTGTCTACAGAATCATGGGATTCAACTAGATAATCTTTTACATGTATTTTAGCTCATATGTTTTAGATTAGCCAAATCCAAATGTCCAGTATGGGGGACAACCTTCCACCCAGAACAGGTGGTTCAGAATTCAATTGGGTGGAAGTTTTTGGATTAATTGTTTAAGCTTTCTGGTTATTACACAAAGTCAAGTTTAGATACTGTTCTGGAATAGCCAGGTTGAGACCACAAAGAACTAAACTTGTATGCATAATAATGTAAAAAAGGGTGCTCTTTTATGCATGGGGGGCAGGGAGACAGGCAAGCAAAGATGTATAAGGGAGTTGGGACTATTCAGGGATGAAGAAGTTAAGTGACAAGGAAAAGAGTTAAAAGAAAAGAAGCTTGTTCACCTGAGTAAGACAGATGGGGCTAAAGGTCATCTCCACAGGGTAGGTGGACTGCCCCCAAATGTTGGTGGTAGAGGGAGAGCCAGAGGGAACCTGTGATGAGCTGTGACATCCACCAGTCCTTGCTCCTCAGAATATGATCCGCGGGCCAACAGCAGGGGCACCACTTGGGAGCTTGTGAGAAAGGCACCTTCGCAGGCCCCACCCCAGGCCTCCTGAATTAGAACCAGCATTCCAGGAGGATCCCCAGGTGATTCAAGTGCACAACTGAGAAGTACTTTTCTAGCTAACCCACTGGAAGTTTCTCTTTTCTGCCTGGACTGCTATGCATCATGTGGGAATTATTGTCAGTGTTCCAATTTGGACGGGAGATGGTGCAGATCTAGAGAAGCAGGTAGGGGTTGGTAAGCAGTGCCAGGTGTGGAACATCAGTGGTGAGTTGGCAGATGGAAGGGGCAGCAGCCACCAGACTGAATTTGTGGAGCATGTGAGTTTCCCAGACATTCTCAGAATCACCCAGTTGGGGAGCCCTGCTAAAGACTGTTACTCCTGCAGAGTGTAGTGGCCTGGCCTGGCTGCTGAGGGCAAGCATGGCCCCTGTGGGTAAAACTTAGGGCGTACGGGTAAGGGCACTCATTGTAAAGATGCCCGAAAATGTGCTGTCACTGACAATGATGCCTAATTTACAATGCTGAATGTTTGGCTCTGTAATGTTAAATACTTTTAATAATTGTTCCTGATTGGCATGCAGGCATTTTAGAACCTCTTCATTCATTATCCCTGCAAAATCAATATCCCTTGTTTGTCCTGGCAAGGAAAGAGGTAAAAGTGATTTTGAACAAGTATTAGTTTTTTTTTAAACAAAGGTGAAACACTTGTTAAGTCTGATTCTTGCTGATTCATTTGAAGACTGCTATAGGTTGTTCTTGTTTGCTTTTAGTAGCATTAAAAATAGTTATTTTTGTAACTAGGATTCGTATAATATCTGTAGGTGGCCCTATTTGAATATAAAGGATATTGTAGGCTGCCCCCGCTACTGCCATCACCAAAAGAAGTAAATTTTTTTAAAAAAACTGGGCTCAGTAATATTGAAAAGTGGCTTGAGAAGCCACTTCGATCATATAAAAACCAACAAAGGAAAACAACTTCAGAAAGTGCACTCAGAGCAGTTGTTGGGGCAAGTAGATATGTTTCTAATTGAGGGGAGGCATACATTAGCCCCACTTTTTAAATATACTGATTTCATTATTCATTTTAGCTATAATGTTTAGTTTTGGCAGGGCAGCTGAATGAGTTTTAAACCCTGGGTTCTACAGTCAGCCTAAGGGTGAGTCACGGCTCTAACAGTTCCTGGCTGTGTAAACTTGGGCAAGTTACTTAACCTCTCTGTGCTTCGGTTTCCTCATCAGAGCAATAAGAGTGATAATAGTCTACCTAATCTTTTTCATGAATTAAGTTACTACAGGTATAAGACTTAGTGCCTACGAATCTAGTACCTCACACTTGCTCAGATATCTGTTTTATCGTTCTCTGCCATGCAGGGGGACCAAGGTACAGAAAAGTGAAGCAGATCAGGAAAAATATTTTTTCTTTCATTTTTTTCCATTTTTTTTCATTTTTTAGACATTGGTGATGGTGGTAGGGGAGTGAGGAGAGGATGGGTCATTGTGGTAAAAGGGAGTGCCGGGGGCTGTCTAGGCTGACTGGATTTAGGGAATTAAATGTCTTCAAGCCTATTTTGTTACCTAACAATTCCCGCTGTCCAGTCCCACTCAGAGTTTGTGCAAACAGCCCAGCTTTTCACCATATGTTCTTCAATTCCCTTGACTAGCAATGCCTCCAAAATCAAAATGCTTCTGGTATTTTCTAACATCTTAATGCTCTTTAAAGATTTTATTTTATTAACTGCAGCCCATGAGTCCAATTGGGGTCAGAGACCGAAGTCATGCTGGGGATTCTGAGTGGATTCAGATACTATTGGCAAAAGCAATAAAGCTGGGAGAAAGAGATGATGATGAACCACCTCTATGATAATTGAGCTTCTTATGCCACGAACTGTATACAGGTACAAGTTTTCCCACAGAAATAAATTCTACCAATCATTAAATTCCACCGGCCGGGATGGGAGGTATGACTCACAGGTTCATTTTTATCAAACTGTTACTAGTTCCACCAAAGACTGCAGTGTAAGTGATTGAATTATCCACACTTCCCTAGTCCTATGATCTAAAATACATTCAGCAAATTAGGACCTTGAAAATTTATCATGCTGTCCCTCTCAATCCTTTCCATTGTTCCTCTTCTCTCTTCCAGCCCTCTGGCCCAGCATGAAATTCTTTCCTCCCGCCTCTTCATTATCAGGACTAGTGCTTTAATATTCTTTATTATCTATGAATTATATGACCAAAAAAGTGGGGAATGGTTAAAATCAAGTTCCTCCAAAACAGTTTAAAAATACTGCATATGAAATTTAATTAGGCAAATAAGAACTTGGAATACAAATGTAAGATACAGAACTTATGGCATAGTGAAGAATTCACAGCCTAGAAGGAAACAACAGTTTAGTGAGGGAGGAAGACAAGGCCACAGGGTTTGCCTATTGAAGAAGAACAAAATGCCAGTGAAAACCATTTTTAACTCTATCTTTTGGATATTATTTCTTTGTCCTAAAAGGTAACATACTTACAGATTCTCCTTTTTGACCTTTTGGGCCAACAGGCCCTGGAAATCCTGGTTGTCCAGTTTCACCCTTTCAAGAAAAAGCAGAAGAGAGATTTCTGCGTGAGGTCACATGCGTACTGCTGTAACTGTCAGAGTCAGAGTAATTGCTTGTGCTCCTGGAATTTATGTTATTCTCCAAGAGACGAGCCCTGAATCCAGGTAGGCTATTTGCATAGTAATGTGTTTGTCAGCACTTCACAATGCCTTTAGGTCTTTTAGAAATCTGTAATATTCATTATATTTAAAGTTAATCTGAAATAAAAGTTAATTATTTTTCAAGGAAAGAACATCTAGGAGAGAAAAGTTATAATTTTGCTCTGCTGTACCCAAAAGATTATTTTTATGATCTTAAAGAGATCAGATTGTTTAACTGACACAATAATTCAGGCTCATTTTATTTCAGAAACTTCTTTCCTTTTTTAGGTGGGGGGAGGTGGAGGAGTGGAGAGACACATGAAGGAAAACGAGTCTCTCAGCTGTTCCCAGCATTCACACCGCTGCGTCAGTGCCTGGCTGTGGATGGAGAAGGCACTCGTGCCAACGTGGTGACGGCAGCCATGGGGAGACGTGTGAGACGCCTCAGACCCTGATGAGGGGTTTGTGTGCGATAGATAACAAGCACTTCGAAAAAATGCAATTTTAGAAATAATACTTGTGGAAAGGAAATATATCACTGATCAGACTTCAGAGGAGTCTCAGCATTGTGCTACTTTTTAGTGTCTACCAAAATCCTTTAACATTGCATCATCGTATATCACATAAACACAGCTGTCAGACGTTATACAATTTCCTCCCAACCTAAGAGTATTTTTGCAAAATGATGTTTCTGAGAACATATATATTTTTCTCACCTGTCTTGTATTTTTTTTATTAAAAGCACAGAAAACATAAAAGGTGAATTATGTCAAACCTCCATGTATGACCACCCAAAACTTTAAAAATTAAATAATCAAAGAAGAAATCTCCTATATTTCTCTCTCTCATTCTTGTTCCAAATGGAGCCACTCTCTTAATTTGGTACTCATCTCTTTAGTCCATATTTTAGCACCTTTACTGCATATGTGAAATCATAAACAATATATTATTCTAAATATTGAAAAGAAAATACAAAAAAACAAATTCCAAAAGTCAATTTACCTTGTATAAAACATTCTGTGACTTGTTTATTCAACATTGTTTTTTAATACCCATTTCTGTTGATACATATAGATCTGGTTCATTCATTGTAAGTATTGAATTTTATAATGTTGTATAATTATAGCATTACAATGTCAATGTACCAGGGCTTATCCAATCCCCACTGAGGGGCCTCTGGTTGTCACTACACCTTCTCTATCATAAACAAGGCTTCAGTGAACATCTCTGTAACTGTCCCCTTGTGTGGGTGTGTTTATCTGTTTATTTTGAAGCCTTGAACAGTCTTACTCAGATAGTCTACTCAAAGTACTTCAGGTACAAACTTATTACAGTACTAAAAATTTTGGCTTACTTCTGCATTTCTATCCAAATCAGTGGTTTTTGATTTCAGATTATAGGAAGAAGGAGCCTGTCATGTGTAATGGATAGGCAGGACCATGTATTTATTTAGGAGTTTTCTCGATTTGTGGAGCGTATTTTGTAAATTTACAAAATGTTATTAATATTTATTAATAACATTAATGATTATTAATTGATGACTAATGACTTTATTAATGATTATTTTTCCTTCTAGTATCTAAAGATATAGTATACCATCCATCTTATACTTACTATAGGAGAAGGCATTTTCCCCCTTAGAGATAATAAATGCTATCCAAAGCAAAAACAGGAAGAAATTGGTAGATATAGTTAAGGGATCAGTTGCTGTCAGCTTAAAGAGGAAATAAACAGGTGGCCTTGTATGAGCATTAGAGTGTACAGCATGACCTTCCTGCACCTATCTGGTAGGTGCACGGGTGTGAAGGAAACATATGCCTAGTAGTTAGACTTATCTGCAAAAAATAAAAGTAGATTTCAGGGAAGGGGTCTAGAAATGACTATAAAAATCACACCTGCCAAATCCCAAAGGGGATGGGGATATACATGTTGGAAAAGTAATTACATTCACAGCTCATATTCATTGAGCTAAAGTAAATAGGTCTCCATTGGAATGTAGATGAAGGACCCAACAAATGCTTTGGTCCACCTCTCTGAGTGGTGTATTGGTTTGGTTGGGTTTAGAAGAAATGGTGGGAACCAACTCCCTCATATAAAATTCTAGAAACAAAAGCATTTCATACCTGAATCTTAAACACATGTTGAGTCATTTTTCATATTTAAAATAGATGTTCAGTGATTTATCACTGTGTATATGAGTTGAAAGACAAGTGATGAATTTACTTTCCTTCAGGACAGGCTGTCCCTTAATTTGACACTTCTGATGCATTTTAAAAACTTGGTGCTTTTGTGGCTTTATCTTTTCTCTCTAATAGTCAACCTCCAAAGAACCCTGCTAATTTCTCAGGAGCCCTTAAATATTCTATTCACCTTATTCCACTGTCTCTATAAAGAATCAGTTTTCAACCAACTGACAAATTCATCATTCCTTCACCACGTTTAGTCAGTCAGTGTCAGACAAGCAGCAGAGCACTGACCATCAGTTCAATACTGGTGGACTGGTCACATGAATGCCATGATCTCCATTGCCATTTACCACTAATGGCTACTAGTTTCCTTACTGTTTCTCCCTGTATCTTAGTGCTCTTAATACAGGCTGTGGCTCCTAAACCAGGAGTGATTTGCAAGTAAATTCCTCTGTTGCTTGTATCTGTTCTGGAGTGTCATTGTAATGTTGGGTATCAAATGGTACGCTGGTTTTGTGATTCTGTTTTGCATGTCAGCATGTTGAGAAGCGATAAGTCATTTATGTGCTGAAATTGTACTTCTGGTTAAATCTTTTATTCTATAACATAGGTAAATTGAGTCCTTTCACTTTCAGAATAATGGTGAGAGATGAAAAGATGAGCAAGACCAGATGTTAAGGATGGTAACTACTATTAACACCAAAAAGAAATACATGAAGTCTCGTGAGAAGAAAGTAGGTTTGGAGTAAACAGGAAGGACAATCTGTAGTGGTGGCTGAATATGTGTCAGGTGTTGTGCTTTTAGGTAAATTCATATCATCTCATTTAATTTTAATCCTGCCATCAACACCGTGTACATACGATTATGCCCATTTTACAAATGAGGAAACTGATACTCAGATAAAGTGATTTTTCCCAAGAAGACATGACTATTAATGGCACAATCAACTTTTGCTCCCAAAGACCATGCTCTTTCTACCACTTGATGGTTCTCAACCCTGGCTGCCTGTTAGAATCATCGGCAGCACTTTCAAATGATAGTGATATGGACTCCTCCCCAGATCAACCAGAATTTGCCCAAATAAGAGTCTCTAGGGATGGAGCTTGAACAATAGTAGTTCCTAAAAACCCTCTGTGTGATTCCAAGGTGAAGCCAGGGTTCAGAACAACTGGGGTACACCACATGGACAAATAAATTTGTGAGAGTAGATTGAAGAAGCTTTAAATTCTCACTATGGTGGCCCTTAAACAAGACTATAATTTTTAAAAAACCAGTGTATTGCCCTCTGTGGGCTGGGCATTGTCCCACAAACTGAAAGGTTGCTGGCTAGATTTCTGGTCAGGGCACATGCTTGGGTTGCAGGCCAGGTTCCATGTTGGGGGCTTGCGAGAAGCAACTGGTTGATGTTTCCCTTGCACATTGATGCTTTCCTCCCTCTATTTCTCTCTCCCTCCCCCTCTCTCTAAAAATAAATAAATGAAATCTTAAAAACTACAGCAACAACAAATGTGAACCCTCTCTAGTAAGGTAAGAGACTGTTTAAAAAACAATGTATTGATTCAGAATGGGATATGTATAAGGTAGTGGTGATTTCATTCTTCCAGAAAGTGCTATGCTTAACCTTTTTTAGTTTATTTTATGTATTATTTATTGGCAGAGTCTTTCTCCTATTAATTAGAATTCTTAAAAATCATCTCATATGTACACTTATATTAGGTACTACATCAAGCTCCTTCCAGATTCTTTGAGGTTATTTCTTTGGGTAGCAGGAGGAGGGAGATATGCCCCTGGCTTTTCTAATTCCACTTGAGATTCTGAAGCAATTAGAAAAGATTCTGAGCAATAGAGAAGGTCCTTAGAGTTTGAAATACACCTGTTTCAGAGAATCAAATTTCTCATCATTGAGGTCTTAAGAATTTCTAAGTAACATATGTTTCCTAATGAACATAGCAAAAGAGAAGCCAGCTGTTTTGTTTCAAGAAATGAATCATCATTTAAATACTTTAAAAGTACCACATCTCCCTTCTTTTCCCAGCTGTCCTGTGTGACAAGCTCTGTGGCTTTATTTTGCTTTTTCTTCCCTCGAGGTTGCAGGTGTCCAGTAGTAACTGCTTAGAATGTAATGTAATGTGTTCTGTATGGTGGTGTAGGGGTTCTGTAAGCTATCTGGTTACAGGAAATAGTGCTAATGTACTACCAGTATAATCTAAGACACACACATGACATTATTGCTGTATAATTAATATTTTTGGCTGCCTTTTAAAGAATGTCATTGTTTTATTATTTATTTTTTGCTGAAAAATTCATTTTCAATGATCAGTCTGTAGAAGACCTGACTTTCTGTTGAGGCTATCTTTCAGGAGTATTTTTTGGTGATGGATGTATGATCTTTTGAGTAGATTGGTTGCATTGATTTATAAGGCACAGAAGTCATATTTTCTTGGGTTCATGTCAAAATACTCTGCCCTCAATCAAGAGAATTTTTACTGGGTGAATGAATGAAGTTAGCACTCACAGGCCACATTCCCTCAGAGTATTTTCAAACCTACTCATTTCTGTCTGTAGACAGAATGTGTATTGTTTTTTCCTGACAATGGCACATTGACACTGAATCAAAGGTCATCACAATTTCAGAATCCAATGGGAGTGAAACATCTTTCTGTGTGGGCAAGTGAATCTGTCATCTTCACAGCTAATATATTAAACTTGCAAATCATAATGAGAATGCATTGGAAATTCATTAGCATTTTAATTTTAAAACTGTTTTGAAGCAATTATTTGGTTAAACCATAAATGTATGTTATAAAACCCCACCAAAAAAAATGCTCCCATGATGACAGGTTGTTTGGACACTTAAGAAGACACAAAAGTAGTGTGCCTGAGCCTGGGGTATTTTGTCAAAGGGGTCTTCAGATTGTTTTTGCCACCTATATGGATGCAGGAAGTGTCCAATTATAAACTGAGACTGTGTCCTAATTTAATTTACCGTGTTACAGCTAATTCCCCTTACAGTGTTCCCTTCTTTGTACCAACTGCAACTCAGTAGTCTTCACTGAAGGGCAGATTTTAACCCTGCTGCCTGGTCAGGAGGTAAGGAGGCTGTGCTGGACAGACGGCCCATGGACAGCACCTCACGGGGCAGCAGCACCTCCTCTCATAGATGAATGTGTCACTTGGTCTAAAATCACTTGGTTTTTATTCAGTTTGAAAATCCGATTACCTTCTCTCCTTTTGGGCCACCAGCTCCATGTTCACCAAGGTTTCCCTAGGTAAACATAAAACAACAACGAAATAAATCCCCCCAAAATATTCATTTATTTTTAATACATTCAATCTGTATTTTAAAAACAGAAATAAATAATAGTACTGTAACAGTGTTCTACGGATAACATTTTAATCACTTTTGCCTTTCTCACCTTCCATTAAATATTCCTGGAAAATTCCAACTTTGGGTACCCTATCTATCTTCCCTGTGGTTTTCCCCTAAGAGATGATTCTGGAAAAATATCACAACTCCACAGAAAAAAAATTGTCTCTACTCCAAATTCATGCCTGGAAACCTCACATGGTCCCCAACCATCCCATGGGTATGACTCTAATGCTATTGAGGTATTGTGCTGCTCAGTATAATGGACATTCTATTCATGGACCTCATGGCTGCACTTGCCACTCTCTTGACTAGTGTGATACCTCACCCTCCTAGTTTCTTCCTATCTCTCTGACCTGTCTTCCTCTCCCCCCACCTGATTGGTAGAGGTTGAACTTCCCCAGGGCTCTGTGTAGGCTCTCCTTTTTTGTGACTCAGCATTTCCTCCCAGGCCTTCTGATCTACCCCCACAGCTTAAGTGTCAACTACCACACAAAAACAGACAAATTTATAAACCAGAATACATCTCCTTTCTGAGTTTTGACTCATATATATAATTTTCTATTTGATATATTCATTTGTAAATTCAAAAAGAAATTCACATTCAGCAAGTTCAAAGCTGAATTTTAAAACACAACAAATACACACATATACACTCGAGAAAGAAAGAAGATTATTTTATACTATTAACAATTGTTAGTCCATAAGTGCAAGAATGATTAACTTCTTCCTGGTGTAAGTCTGCAGTTTGACTTGCTAAAATGAGTGGTAATTTCAATTTACAATTGGGAAAAAAAAATAAGGATAAGCCAGTGCCATATCTGAGACTTCATCAACCTCCGAATATTGTTTGGCCCACCTTGGAGATCTCCAAAGATTCTTCCTCATGCCCACTCAAGCTACTTTTCCATATGAACGGCTGGTCTTGGCTCATGCTTCACAAGTTCCTAAATCTTATCAAATAAGCAACAGCTGGCCTCAGTGAGCTCCAGCCCTGGCACTAGCTGCAGCTGCCTAGATTCACAGCTTGACTTCACCTGGGAATCTTCAAGCCCAGCATAAGTAGCAGATATCTTGGATTGCTTTATAGCTCAGGCAGAGTGGCCCCTGGCAAAGCACAGGTGGAGGCTGACTTTGGCCTGCACCACCTGGGAAACTCCAACACCTGAATATCCAGTGGACAGCTACAGACCACATGGGAGCACCACCACACTGCCCCTGCATAGCTAATCCTCCATGGAAGGCAGAGATTTGTGATTGGTGATCACAGACAATCCTTGCAGCTGACTGGCCTGGGTGAATCTTTTCCATTGATCTGCCAGCAGCAACCAAAGCTCAACTACAAGAGGGGGGTACTCAGACCACATGAAGGGTAAACCTTGAGTACCCAGATCAGGTGACAGGGGAGGCTGTGCCACTGGACCTTACAGGATACTTACTATATTAGGCCACATGAACAAGACATGGATTCAAAGCAGCTCTACCTAATACATAGAAGCAAACACAGGGAGGCTGCCAAAATGAGGAGACAAAGAAACAGGGCCCAAATGAAAGAACAGATTAAAACTCTAGAAAAAGAGCTAAACAAAATGGAGATAAGCAATCTATCAGATGCAGAGTTCAAAACACTGGTTATAAGGATGCTCAAGAGACTTAGTGAGGATCTCAGCAGCATAAAAAAGATCCATTCAGAAAAAAATAAATTAATTGAAATAAAGAACAATTTACAGGGAAACAATAGGAGAGTGAATGAAGCCAAGAATCAAATCAATGATTTGGAACATAAGGAAGTAAAAAACAACCAATCAGAACAAAAAGAAAAATGAATCCCCTCAAAATGAGGATAGTATAAGCAGCCTGTGGGACAACTTCAAGAGGTCCAACATTCACATCACGGCAGTGCCAGAGGAGAAGAGAACGAGCAAGAAACTGGAAATCTATTTGAAAGAATAATAAAGAAAACTTCCTTAATTTGGTGAAGGAAATAGAAATGCAAGTCCAAGAAGCCCATGTGTTTGGGACAGAGAATTCAAAACAAGGTGGATGCAAAGAGGCCCACTCTAAGACACACAATAATTAAAATGCCAAAAATTGAAGATAAAGAGAGAATCTTAAAAGCAGCAAGAGAAAAGTAGGTAGTTACCTACAGGGGAATACCCCTAAGACTGTCAGCTGATTTCTCAAAAGAAACTATAGGATAGAAGGGATTGGCAAGAAATATTCAAAATCATGAAATGCAGGGGCCTATATCCAAGATTGCTCTACCCACCAAAGATATCATTTAGAGTCAAAGGGCAGATAAAGAGCTTCCCAGATAAGAAAAAAAAATAAAGGAGTTCGTCATCACCAAACCATTACTATATGTAATGTTACAGGAACTTATTAAAGAAAAAGAAGATCAAAACTATGAACAATAAAATAGCAAAAAATACATATCTATCAACAATTGAACCTAAAGAACAACTAACCAAACAAGAAGAACAGAGACAGAATTATGGATATGGAGAATGTTTTGATGGTTGCCAGATGGTAGGGGTTGGAGAAGAATGGGTGAAGAGGTTAGGGGATTAAGAAGTACAAATAGGTAGTTACAGAATAGCCATAGATTGTAAAGTACAGTCTAGTACTGCCAAAGAACTTATACAGTCTAAAGTACAGCCAAAGAACTTATACACATGACCCATGGACGTGAACAATGGCGTGGGGATGGCCTGAGGGAGTGGGGCTGCTGGGTGGAGGGGAGGAAAGGGGGAAAAATCAGGACAACTGTAATAGCATAATCAAGAAAATATCATTAAAGTAAAATTAAAAAACAAGGAAAGAAAGAAAATCTGAATATATCCTCTCCTGTCCATAAAACACTTCCTTCTTCAGTCTGGGTATCCTTCTTAACACTGTCCTCCTTCCTCCAGTACAGTCATCAGTCTGATCACCTCTGTCTCCAAATCTCTATTCCCCATGCTACCTTCCTTCACTCTGGGAAGGCCATCACTGTGCCTTGCCAGAGCTACTGCAGTAGCTCTCTCATTGGTCCTCTATATTCTACTCTTGCTCCCCACAAACACACATACTTTCTAAGTAAGGTCAGAGCAATATCTTTAAAAGATATTCTAATTTCATTCCTTCTAAACCATAACAAAGCCATCGAAACCCTGGATGACCTGAATTCATTTCCCCCTTCATCATCTTGGCCAGCATCATCTTGGCCCTCTTCTCCCTCAGGAGTTTCAGCTCCAATGGTCTTCTCCCCACTCCTCAGATGAACCAAAGTCTTCCCCATCTCACCCTCCAGGTCACCACTCTGTCTTCACCTCATTGTGGCTAGCAGTCACTCATCCCTCAGGCCTCAGCTCTTATAAAACGCCATTCATGGGAGCCTCCTATGAGACAGGTTTTCCTTTCAATAGTTTCTCCCTGGACATTGTATTTTCCCTTCATAATACTTACTGGCATTTTTATTTTTGTGTTTGTTTAAAACACTTTGCACCTCTTACACTAGAATGTAAGCTCCAGGATGATCTGGACTTGAATTCTCACCCCATGCCTAGGGCAGTACCTAACACATAGGAATCATTCAATAAATATTTGTTGAATAAACAAATAATTCTAATTTACATGTTTTCCAAGGAAGTTTTCAATTAAAAATACATGTGTTGGCAGAATAAATTAAAAGTACATAAATGTTTAAACAACAGAAATTCAGAAAGGTACCCACTCATCAGTGTTGCTATGGTTTAACATGTTCAATGGCCTTCCATGCTACTCCAGTTAAGTATATGTAGTTTACGATTGCTGTTAGTATTGGTCTTATGACAGATATTCTCTCTTTCTTCCTACTTAATTTTGATCTGAGATGTCTAAATTGAAAATAAAAATTGTATCCTCAAACCTGAGCTATAAATTATCATAAGGAAAATGTGGTATAAAACTCTGAATGATACTCACATGCATACATAAAGGATCAGCACTTACAAAATATTAGGTTGCTTGGATGCAACCTACACAAGAACATACATTTTAGGAATTTTCTGAAAATACTAGCCTTCTAAAGATGGTGCTAATCTGTGTGCCAACCCATCAGTGTCTCTCCCTGGCTGTGCTTATGCCAGGACATCGCTGGGGAAGCTGGAACATGGTATGAGTTGTCCAGAGATGATATTTGGATTGGGTGGCCTCATGTTCTTGGCTTGCAGAGAAGAAGAACCAAAGTGCTCTGATGAGATCATATCACAATTAGCACCTTATTTAGATCCTCTTCCCCAACAACCTGGAGTGTGTCAGGGATGCTGTGCTTGGAATGAAGAAATATCTCTTCAGGACTAAGTCATATTGTTTTATCCATGTGCTCTATTATTCTAAAATTTTGATTTTTTCTGGTGGCTTTCACACCCAGAAAGACAATAAGGCCATTCACTGTCTAAAGAGCATCACATGCCTGTTTCACTCAATAGTTAAGCCAGGAAATCTATCTAATCAAGGATCCACATGGCCTCTACAAATGTTTTCCATTCTTGGGCAAACAATACTCAAGGTAGATTCACACTTTAACTTCAGTAGCATTTATTCATTGACATGTGAGGTTCTCCTCCCTACTTTTCCAAGCTAATTGTACCAGACAATTTACTTGGCTCTACAGAAATAATAAGACATAGTCCTTTTATTTCTGGAACCTACAGTTCTGTCTCTGATGCTATTCTAATTTTACTAGGTCATTTTTGGACCCTGGTGCCATGCTGTTTAAATGTTTTTATAACCCTTATGAATAAATATAATATTTGTACAGTTTTGAATGTGTTTATTTAAAAGTCCCTGGTGAAGTGGTAAGGGTTGTGGTATGGGGAGTGCTAACTGGCCTGCCCATGTGAAGAATTCTGGGATGTCAGAACATGTCCTTTGTTTTCTTGTGGGTAATGATGAATGGAACTTTGAAACAGATACTCAGGCAAGTGGGAAGACTCTCAAGCTATTCCAATTGCTCCAGAGAGGGTATTCTCTGTGAAGAAGGTACTATACCTGGACGTGCATAGGTTCAACCACAAGAGATGGCTGTTTTTATAGGCCCTGAGGAGTCAAGTATCAGCAATTCCCTGTGGCTGCATATTATAAAAAAGACTAGGACATGAACCCTCTCCTAGGGCATGGGGTATTTAAAAATCGTCCAGTTTAGCTTTTGGAGGACTTGCTGTAAAATCCTAAGCATAAGGGAACATAATGTTAAAAAAAAACAGATTATCTATTTTGGATTGAATTGTGTCCTTCCCCACGATTCATATGTTGAAGTCTTAACAACTAGTACTTCACATTGTGACCTTATTTAGAAATAAATTCTTTGCATACGAATTAATTAAGATGAAACCGTACTACAGTAGGGTTGACCCCCTAATTCAATACGACTGTGTCCTTAGAAGAACAAATTCTGAACCAGAGACATGCACACAGGGAGAATGCCACATGGAGGTGGGAGATATGCTGCCACGAGCCAGGAGGGAGGGCAGGAGCCCATCCCTCTTCACCCCTTCAGGGGAAGTGCTATGTACAGACACCTTCACCTCGCACTTTCTGCCTCCAGAAATGTGAGACAATAGATTTCTGATGTCTAAGCCACTCAGTTTGTGATATTTTCTTACAGTAGCCCTAGCAAGTTAAAGTATAGCATGTGGCCTAAGAGGGCTGGGGTCTCTTGAAAATAAGGCCTAAAGCTGGCTCTAAGTCTAGCCTCTCAGGTACTTACATGCAAACACTTCACCAGCTCCAAGTGTGGTGGACCACAGAGGGGAGGGGGAAACCCAGGGGACTTTCAGGGTCCTTCTCAACAAAGCTAGCATTCAAAACTAAGATACGCCTGCACCTAAATTCCTGATGTTTCCCAAAGCTAGTGGATCCTGGAATGTAGGGCAAGACAGAAAGTTAGGACTTTAACTTTATTTCTCAATATTCTAGGCCCAGAGGGTGGCTTCTGGTGTCTCCAAGGAAGCTTTCACTTCCTGTGCTGTCATTGGGTTTAACTCACAGCTTGGAAGGATCTTGAATATTTGATTCTGGAGAAAGATTTTCTGTCCTTTCTAGTTTTTGAATATTAAAATGGAGCTATTATTTGATACTTGGAAGGAGAGTAGATGATTTTACTAACAATTTTTGGATCAATAATTTGGAGAAGTGAACACTAAAATTGGTTGCTGGGAGGCACAGCAGCCATCTCCAACAGTTGAGACTGATTCTCTGCAAATTTCACCAAGTGTGATGATGTAAGAACACAACTATGCATTTTCAATGTGGATCTTTAAAAACACTATCAAATGTAAAATATGCAAGTCCTTGGCCTCCACAGATACCATCTTCCCCTATCTGCAATGTTGTACGGGCTCAGGATCTGATGGCTTTGGCAGTTGACAGAGCCTATCAAATTTTTATTAAAATCCCCAGTGCTGGAGACAATGAAGAGCAGTGTGCTGGTTAGTGAGCAGATTTTCCTTAAGGGGAAGAATATGCTCAGTATTGCAGCTTCTTTGCAAACAATCTTGCAGAATGGGAGCAGCTGTTTTGAAAATTACTTTTGTGATGGAGAGGGAAATCTTCTACCTTTTGTTCTTTGCATTCTCAAGTGGGCATGCAAAACACATATAAACACACTCTGGTAATCTTGCCCAACTTAGTCTCTCTCTCTCTATTCTTTGCTTCTTTTTTTCCCCTATTTGCTTTTTGATTTGTGTTGCAATGGGAGAGCGTTTTTTTTTTAGGCCTGACCTTCTCTCTCTGATGACATAAGGAAAACTGCAGGGAAAAAAATCAACTCTTGTGCAGGGGCCAAAGGGCAGTTTCTTTGCCTTTGAGGATTCCCGGCCCGGGAATGAACCCTGGGCTCTTTCAGTTTGGAAGGGGAGGGGTACGTCTGACTTGTCTGCTGCTCATCCTGCCCTGGGTCTTGGCTTCAGCTGCTTCAGGCTAAGGAGCTGTTGTCTGGGACTCTAGTGCAGACATTACATAAATCAATGCCAATTTGAAAGGGAAGATTATTTTAACCTTGAAATGTCACTTTTTATATCTCAATACATGGTCCATTATTTAATCTCCGGGAAAGTTTCACGCTGACCCCCACCCCCTGCCCTGCGCTCATTTGGTACAGCCAGACCATTGGGCATGCAATGAATTGCAAAAATGAAACAACCTCACTATCCAAAAATAGTTCTGCAATGGGGGACACTGCCAAATGGAAACATTCATCTTGCTCATCATGGCCCATTTGGCCCTTTCCTTTGTGAAGCTGAGGGCGAGGACAGGGTGGTTACCATACAGAAACATTGGTCAGTGTAGGTACTGGAACACTGGACCTCACCTCCTCTATCCATTCCCAGGGACCTCAGTGTAACAGCTCTATTTGCAGAAGGAAACACGGCAAAGTGTTTGGGAAATTACATTGCATTAAGTCCCAGATGGGGTTACAGCTTTCTTAAATGCTAAGTGCTTATAATGCATCATTTGGGAAAGAAAAGCTATGGTCTTTCTTTTTTATCAAGTCATGCTCCAGCTGGACAGCCACATTTTGAGCACATGTGGACAAAATACCTGAAAGCCTCTATCCTGTAATAGCAACAAGAACAGCCGGAGTTCTAAGTGACTCAATGAGCTAAGTTCAAAGTACTGGTCTGTTGTTAGCAAGGCTCTCCCCTCACCTGCTCTGCTCAGCCCCCATTTTTTTTGAAATATAACTTTAAAGTTTAAAAATTTACATTCCTAACTGTAGACTAAAACATAAATGCTTCATATATCTTCATTTAAGGGAAAACTGACTCATTGGCAAGATAAACTATACATACAAGCAGTGTTAGGAGACCTGTAAAGATCCGAGCTTTAAAAGTTTTGCAAGGGATAGCAAATATTTAAGTAGCTGAGTCGCAACTTGGTAAATTTTGTACCAAGGGCAAAAGTAATATAGTGTGCTCTTTAAGTTTTTCTAGCTGACACTGTGACATCAAAGCCAACTCCTTCTCATTACTTTGAAGCATTTATGATAAATCCTGTCTTGTAATAGATGTCATTAGAGAAAAGTATTGTATTTTTATTGATTAGACATGCTTCATGTACTTTTTTCAAGTACTTCATGTACTTTGTGCCAAGTCCTACTATTTTGAAAAAGCTAGTATAGACCTACCTATTCAGAAAATGTTTAATTATACCCCAATCATTCCTAATATAATTCTCCCTGGAAAATCTAAGTAAATGAGGAAGTTTAAGGTAGGATTACGTAGGAAGTATAACAAACTTTCCACACCCTTGACTTTAAACTCATCAACCACAAATGATCCAGTCGTTCATGTTGAAGTTAATCTGATGAAAAAGAATCAGGATTTAAAAAAATGAATTAGCTTATTTTATAAACACTTTCCTGAGCACATGCTATCTTTAAGCCCTCTGCTGGCACATAGTGTCTTTTCGGATTTTCTAGACAAAAAGGAGTAACAGTAGTCAGGAATTTATAGGAAGGCAAAGCAAACACATAGAGGAGAGTCTCTGAATGCATTTCTGTGCAGTGGCACAATTCCTCAGCAGCATCGTATAAACGATAAGCTACTATGTGTATGTGTCAACCAGTGGACAGAATGCCTCACACCAGTGATCAGGTGCCAGATATTTATTATTGAATGGTGGGCCAATGAATGGTCTCACGTAGGTACCCAGTCTCACTTCACTGCTGATGCCCCTTCTTTGCCCTGTGTTGTGCTTCCTGGGAGAACAGGAAGCACGATTGCCTTGCCTTTGCTACTCAGCTCCTTCCATGTCAGAATTCCATCCACCCTAACTGGAATTTAAAAACCTTGGGGAGGTTAAAAGTGGCCCCTCTCTGAAAGGTTGGGGACCCCCAGGTTTTGACCTATGAGATATAAATATTTGCTTGAGGTTTTAGTGTAGCACCTGTTGATTTTCATAAGAATTCTATGTTCCATTATGTTACCCAGAGCTTCAAGGAGGCAAATAATCCCTTTCTGGTCTCAGAGAAATTAGATATATGATATTATCAGTGGTGAAATATGATCTTTGCATCAATTTTTTACATAAAATTTCACAAATTTGAAGTATTTTTTTATTTATAAAGATAATATCCTGGTTTTGAAAAAAGACACTGAGCAAAATACTTTTTTTTGGAAACATTTTCAGTATAGAAAGATGTTAAGAATATATGATCAGTTTTCAAACTCTGAGCAGTTAGGAATGAATTTTTAAAAAATATATGATCACATAAAATCTCTGTGTACATAACATGTGGAAAAGGCTGTACCTTGTTATAAGATCCACCAAGAGCCGGCTGTGTCCCTTGTGTTCCAGGAGGTCCCTGTGTTAGGAACAGACAAAAACCTAAACATTTACCACACAATGTGAATTTAAATAATATATCTAAGAACTCTTGAAATTTTACAAGAAAAATAGTCTGTTTAGTCAAATACTCCAAGTAATAGAGAATTGCTGGGGCATTAACTCATCAGGTTCCTAAAGGTACTTCTAGGAGTCCTGCATGAATCCAGAGAGCTCCTTAACGGGAACATGTAACATTTTACCAGAAGGTTAGCCATCAGCATAATCTTTATTAGAAGGAATTGTAGCCATAAAACTCCTTGGGGGAGGAGGTTTTAGCTTCAGTTTATTTTTGACACTTCTCACAGGGTTTTGATCAATGTATTGCAAAAATGTGTAGCACATATTATTAACTTAGAAAATATGGTAAAATATGTTTTCTAATGCTTTCCTCTTCTGAATTAATGGGATGAAGATGGGTTGCAAATGACTTTCAGGCCAGAAAAAGATGTCATCTCTAAGACCTCAGGCTTAAATTATATACTCAAATTTTTAAGTTTACATGGAAATATTTGCTAAGCACTATGCTGAGCTTTGGGGAGCCAGGAAAGAGGTAAAGGCGTTTCTCTCTAAAATTTCCAGGGAGAATGAAAGAAAAGAGTTTTGTGAGTTTTTCGGAGATTACATTTAGTGAGGAGGGCCCTATGAAATACAATGCTTAGCACTATGTTAAATAAAGTAGTTCAAGCCAAGAGAGAGTCGGCTACTTAAAAATATATATTTCATATTTCATCTACATCTCAAAAGCACCGAGGAGAAAATACTATAGAGGCAAAATTCTTTACATTTTACCTTGGAAGATAAGACAAAGAAAGATCATGACTGAGTAAATCAAACATTACTGTTGTACACAGATTATTTTTTAACAGGTAATGAAAGCTTTAAAAAAGGGGAGAAGAATTTTAAGGAACCACTGCCAGCTACACTCACTGATCTAGGTAACACCTCAGATATACTGAAAAAATTAATGTTGAACATTTATGACAGGTGTTTCTTATGAACGGCTTGTAGCTGAAGATCTCTTCTAATAGGAAACCTTTGCGCTGTGCCAGTAAGTGCGGAGGACACAGCAGTGTGGGGATGGATGTCTGCAAGCAGGCCAGTGGAACTCTTAAGGAAATAATAGGCCTTCTGAGTAATGGAGCCACCTGTGATTGGAAAGACAAATGATGCTGTTACCTCACTGAAGTAAAAACAGAGCTAATGTCAGAAAAGAACTCTCATCGCATTATATATTGTTCACATTTTTTTTTCTTTCTACCAGCCAGCTTTGTGTAAAGTACCCTAGGTCACCTCGATAAAATAATGAGGAAAGCAATTACTGAGCTGGAGGTTGTCGTACAAAGTTTCTAGCCAAGAAGATGTGAGTTAAAAACTCATTCTTGAAACTTATGAGACATGAGATTCCACAGACATTGATCCATCTTCAATTATATAATGAGGCAAGAAACTTGAGATACCACATGTGTCATTAACAGGTAGCTTAGGGACATGCACACTGTAGTTGTTTGGTGGATGGTGAGTATGTGTTAATAATGCTGATTAGATAAAAATAGTGATGTGGTGGGTAAATGTAGCTTTATACACACTTCATTCTAGCTATAAAGAGTCTTACAACTAGGGATCCAAATATGACAGAACAATGAATAATACAGTATCTCAAATAGAGCAGAAGAATCAATCAAATAATAGCAAACATACAGTGCTGATTGTATGCCAGGTACTATACCAAGGGTTTTATATGGATTAATTCATTTAATCCCCACAATGACACCATGAGGTATGTAGCATCATTATCTCCAATTCAACAATACAAAAAATGAGATTTAGAATTGTTCACTGGCTCAAGGTCACAGCACTGGTAGGTGGCAGGGCTAATATTTAATGTAGGCAGCCTGGGCCCAAACTCAGTTCTCATTTACTCTACCATCTTAACCTAAAAGCAGACTCTCAGCTTAAGCTAATTTTTGCAGTATTTTTTTTATCATGCTGACCATGCCCTTGAGAATACTAGGCAATCACTCTTCCAGGTTCTACTCCCCAAACTAAAATTGAAAAAAAATCAACAAAACTTATACTTAGCACTTCTTATGAGCCAGCACTGTGCTTGCTGCAGGAGGGCAGGAGATAAGCACTTTGCCTTTAGATGTAGTCCTCCTGGATGGCTGCCAAGAGGTCCCTCTGCCTGTCCCTTGCATCTCCCATCTATCATCATATAACCTCTCAAGACATGATAGAAAGGTTATGCCTGAATATTCCCCAAACCTCCTCTCAATTCACAAATGTACTAAAAATGCATCCTATCTTTGTTTGCAGAGGTTGGGAGAGCAGGTGGTCAAAGGTACAAGAAGCAGGAGCCTTCAAGGAGGCCCTGGAAGGGAGGGAGAAGGAAGAAGCAGAACAGCAAATGGTGCGATAGGGGTTGCATGGCACAGAGCAGGTAACAGCATGGATCAGAATAGTGACCATCTTAGGGTGGTGCTTATTTATTAAAAAATTGGGTGAGAACTGCGTCTGACCTATTACAGACTGGTCATCTGCCTGTTGCATGAGAGTGCATTCCACAAACGCAGACTATAGTCCTCATCCGGAATCCTGATGTTGCCGTTGAGCTTGCCATCTGGGTAGGTAGAAGGCTCAGTGCAGCTCCCCTCAAAACAATAGCAAGAGCATAGCTCCCTGACCAGCACCACTGGCCAAAAGAAAAGTTTGGATAAGATTAATAAGCCCTTTAAAAGTTATTGCCGCATTTTCATATGTTCTGTTCTCGTCATAAAATGTCATATCCACAGAGTAGTGCTCCAAATGGGGTCAATCTGAAATTTTAGGCTCTACTACTTAATCAGCTGATGAGCAATTATGATGACATTTTCTTCCTTGTTCTTTTAGTCATTGGGACACTTGGGGCATCACACGTTTCAAGTTTAATGTAATAGAGATTCATAGCTAACTGTCTACTCTGCAGGCAGTGCTTTACACATTCTCCCAGAGGCTGTCGAAACCCTGCAGTGACTGAAGGAAGATACCAGTACAGAGTCCTCTGGCTTTCTACCTGTGACTGACTACAGCCAGGAGAGCCATGGCTCACTGGGTTGTTCTCACATGGTCTGAAATAAACTACCTCAATCAATGTGGAGATAGTGACCGTAGAGAGACACTATGCACGTAAATGCCAACAGCAACTTTATTTACAGTTAGAAAAACAATACAGACCCTGGAGTCTCAGAATTGGTGGCTGTCCTGTTAACCACATCCCCAAGAGATATGCTATTTTTAATTTTTCTATTCTGGTACAAATGCATAGTTAGAGAAGATCCAAGGAGTCATTTGTTTCCTAGTTTAGCAAGAGCTGCCAGTCTTATAGAGTATCAGTCAACTCTAGGAAGGAAAAGTTAAAGACTTGTATTAGGTGACATGTCTCCTGGCATCACGCAGTTTTAGTAGATGCACCAGGGCACCTGAGAGCTCACTTTCTCTGGGCTTTGCAATGATAAGGACTTGTCAAAACAATGCATAGATGACCCACAGCTGGGTGGAGAAGCAAGGTCAGTTATGGAGGGCACAGTGGCCTTGGCTAATGCTCTCAGGACCTCTACTAGAAAAACAATAGAAGGTTTATAGATAGGAAAAATGTCCCAAATCTTGCATATGTTGGTGACCTGCAGCACAGGTATACAGAAATCATTGCTATATGGTGTCTATCTTTTATGCAGTTCTGTTTCACTCTGTTTATATTGGGTTGGGAGACACAGAACATCTGGGTTAATATGATGGGAGCACAGTTAGACATCAGCTTTAAAATGCTCATGAACTCCAGCGAGACATACCAGTTCAGAATTGTACTCTGGTGTAATTACCTGAGAGGTGTATAAACCTGGTATAGGTAGAGACCCTGATATTGTTTCTTACTGCAAAGAACCGTATCTAGTGTGAGGAAGTGAATTAAAGCTACATTCAGTTTGGGAGTGTAAATGCTCAGTGACAGTTTAAGAAGTTTTTCTTCTTGCTAAAATCTTGCTTGATAAATGTGGAAAACAGAGAAATATGATTCTGCCACCAGCATCATCACATGGGCAGTGTGAAAATGAGGGGTTGTTTTCATTATCATCCCTTTAGTAGACTTCAGTTTGGGCTACAGATCTCCTGTTTAAAAGATGCAAAGAGTTCTCAGTTGAAAACCATACTTCCTCAGGCCTGGTCTTGGCTACATTTCATTTTCAGCCAGTTGATGTAGCACACTTAGCTAGAAAAAGTTGACTTTTGCCTTTTTTCCCTTCCCTGGTCTTTGCTGTAAACATTCTGTGAAAGTCAAGGTTCGGGTCTTTTGATTCAGCTTTAGCACACCCTAGATATTCTGAATCAAGGTTTCCATGGCTACTCAGCCAGCTACTCCACTCCCTCTCTGATCCTCCCTCCTGAAGTATTTTCCTTTTTCCCTTTCCCAAGATGTATCCTTTAGTTCTTCATAATGCTGACGAGCCTGCTCGAGGCATCTGGGTGCCACTTCTCTCTGGGCACCATAGCTTTCACTCTCTTATTAAGAATGCCTTTCAGGATTAAAAAATACTTATTTTCAGGTTACACATACTGGTAACTGTCTTCTGGCCCTGCGGGTTTCCAATTAACTTCAGTAACAATTTTTGAAATTCCAAAAGCCTCTGTGAAGAAAGTTGCACTAATCAACTCTCTTCAAAACATGCTTTTAAAAAAAGCTTTGCTATAAGAATGAAAAGAAAGTTTGTTATTGGAAAGTAATTTCCGCTAATTTTCTTTTCTTTAAAAACATGTTTATTGCTTTTCGAGAGAGAGAATTGGGGGGGGGGGTGAGAGAGAGAGATCAAGAGGAAGAGAGATTGATGTGAGAGGAAACACTGATTGATTGATTGGTTGCCTCCCATATATGCCCCCTGACTGGGAACTGAAACCCCAACCCTTTGGTGTATGGGATGATGCTCCAACCAACTAAGCCACCCAGCCAAG